GTAGTATAAACCTGACAAGAAATGATTTAGAAGACATTTTGAAGATGAGGATTTCAAAGAGTCAGAATACAGTTTGAGAGAAATGGGGATTGATTTCCAGTATTGAATTCAAAGGAATACAGAAAGTACATGGGATTGTTGGCAAATATTGTATCCAACTACAGATTGGGATGGGAGACTATATCTTGAAATTGATTGGAAGAAAACTTGAGGAAGCAAAAGCAAAGGAATTCAAACTGAATCATGGAAAGATAATTAAAGACAAAATAGTCAGATTAATCAATTTTGCTTGGTCAATAAATTCCCAATTGCTTCATATTTTTGGTTCTTAAAGAGACAGTGAGGTTTTCTAGAGTCACAAAAAGTTGATTCAAAGCTTTCTGTATTGCCTCTTTTGTTTCTTGTATTCTGTCTTTTGATTTTTATTGAATTCTTTCTTTTGTTCTTTTTAATGAAGGCTTTTTTTATTTATTATCCACTTTGAACCCTTTTGTTTCCTTTTATCAGCCCTTTTACGGTTTCCTGCCTTTATCCCTTGTTTTTTCCTCTTTCTTTCTTTATTATTTTTTTCCAATGAATGGTATCATTTTTTTCATTGATATGGTTTCTTTAGGGCTGGATATAAAAGGCTGTGCTTTTTTCATCTTTGTGAGAGCAGTTATTGTTAAATTGGAGCAACAACTCCCTTATTCTGACCTCAAATTTGAAAAACAACCCCTGTTGGATGTCCATGGAAGTTGTTGACTAATTTTTAGGAGTTGTTTTTCCAAGCCCCTTACTTTAAGGCTGTATCAAGAGGAATCCAGATATTGACGGTTGATTACAACCATTCACATAATCATTGTATCACAGAGCTCACAGTGTATATTTTGGGTGAAATCATTCCCATATGCATCAGATATAATCATTGATTTCTGGCGTGAAATTATGTTGTTTGATTCAATCATCCCAATCCACTTCAAATTCTTGAAACTATTATTTTTTGGCACTACAGATTCAGACCCCTTATTTCCTCAAAACTCTGACCACTCAAATAGTCCTCCTACACTCAGTCTTGAGATTCATAACAGTGATTATCAAATGACCAGTTTCATTCAACTGATTTCTCATTAGATATCAGCCTGTAGGAGTCCCAGTCCTCTTTTTTTCCCTTCCCTCTGTTGATTTTTGATTGTTTTTTCCTATTTTTGTTGAGATAGTTTCCACATTTTGCTAGTTTTGGTATTTTCTTCCCTCCAAAAAAATTGAATGAAACTACAAGTCTTATTTTTATGTTCCCTGTTACAAAAGTTAGCTATGGCCTCATGATTGAAAGGGAAGAAAATGGAAGACAATGATAAGTTTTACTCCTCAGATAGTATCACTTGTGATAATTCACAACCTAAAATATTCAAATTTTGCATGTCTTGATGAAGTGAATTTGTCAGCAGAAGAAGAATAAAAAACCAGCAGATAAGAACAAAACTAGACAGACTTTTATTACCACCAGGGGGACTTTGTGAAGTTAGCCTCTGGCATGTGTGCTCATTCTTCCATCCAAAAAATTATCCTGTTGGATGGCTGAGCTCCTAATCACCTTTTCATATTCAAAACTTACTTAAATAGATGGTAGTTGAAAAAAAAAACCAAAATTTGGGAAAACAAGGGGTGTCCACAGGACCAGCGGTGGACCGCTACGCTACACTACGCTACAGGCCCATGTAGCGTTAGCGTAGCGGCACCATTTTTTTTTTCTTTTTCATGTAGTGTTAGCGCGCCGCTACTGCCGCTGCGCTACACTAACTTGTAGCGGCGCTAACACTAGCCAAATTTTGGTGTAGTGTTAGCGCACCGCTGGCGCCGCTACGCTACAGCGTTTTTAGCGGCAAAAAACGGCTGTAACGCAGCGTAGCGGGCGGTTTTTTGCGCCCTGTGCGCGTAGCGTTAGCGCACATGGGGGGAATTGCGCTAATGCTATGCTAAACGTTAGCGCAAATGTTTCCCCCATGCGCGTAGCGTTAGCGCAGAAATTGAAAAATGCGCTAACGCTACGCTACATTGTAGCACTTTTTTCCTACACTACGCTACAGTTAGTGTAGCTGGCCCACCATTGACAGGACCACCTCTTGACTCCCCTGGGAAATTTTACCAATTCCCCCAAAGGGATGGGAGTCATTACTCATTTACCAAGTCGTTTTTTATTATTTTTTTCCCTGTACTGGGGAGTCAAGTGGACTAAAATGGTCTGCCAACTCCTGGAGTGATGGTTGAGAAGTGCACAAGCTGCCAAGAAGCCTTCATCTTGTCAACCAGGTTTCTAGCCTGCTTAGGCAAGAGGCAAGACCTCTTTCCAAGAAATTTACCCTGCTCATTGGGATTCAAGTGAGACTCAACATTGAAAGCAAGTTACTTCCATGAATTTTGGCAAGTCACTCTGCACAAAAAGTATGCAAATTGAGTGGTCAAAATTCATGAGGGTAGCTGTACACTGTACAGGTTAGATCTAACCTTGCCATGAATCTTTGCAAATCAGCATGCATACTTCTTTGTCCAGAGCAACTTGCCAAAATTCATGCAAGTCACTTGCAATGTCAATTTTGGAAACCCCTATCTAACCCACTTGGCAAGAGGTCTTGCCTCTTGCAAACAAGTTGATAACCTACTTCAAAAGGGCAATTGCCCTCTTCAAAAGAAGATTAGTAGCCTGCTTGGTAAGAGAAAGGACTCTTGGCAGCCGTCCACATCTTCAACATGACTCCCAAGTTGGTGGACTGTTTAGTCCTCCAGCTCCCCAGGTCTAAGAGCAACTGCACCACAGCTGGTAAATTGGGTCTGTAGGTAGAATTTACGGACTCAACATAACCAACCCACCACGGTTCCTAAAATCTATGGTAGTCTGCCAATTTTGCACTGGGGTACTTAGATGTAGGGACTCCTATGGTCTTGCCTATCATCTCCGTACTACACTTTCACACAGCCCCAACCTGTGAAACTCAACACCCACACACCACCAACCTGCACAAGGAAAGACCTGTCATAAATTTTTGCCAACCAACTTGCCACCTTGGGGTGTATGCCACAGCAGTTCAAGACCATCAAGTTGGATGCATAGGCCCAAACATCACAATTTAATGGCCCAAAAATAGGGGCCACAGTGACTAAAGTGTTGAATTTTTGAGCTCGAGACAGGCAGATGGAAGGAAATGGCACAAAAAAGAGGAGGACCTTTTTTGGGAAAGGTTTGTGGAAAAAGAATGAAAGAACCAATAAATTTTATTTCTTGTAGCTAGCCTGTTTTAAATAGACTAAATACACAAGGTTAAAAATGTGGTTGAGAGAAATTGAATAAAAGATGATTTTGAATAAAAACTGAGAGAAGGAAAAATATGAGTTCATGGAAGAAATAACCGGACAAGTCTTCTCAGTCTCTTTTAGACAAGCTAGTAATATTAATCATGACAAAACATACTCTCCATCACAAATGAATAGAGTTGTTAATTCTAGACAATCAGATTTTAATGAATCAAATAATGAGCTAGAAAAAGAAGGAAATCAATCAATAAGACTAGAGTTGTTAGCTAGATGAAAATTGCCATAAGGAGTTCTAATTACACTACAAGTGAGCATAAGGTTCAACACAAAAAACAGCTATGATTGACTATAGTTCAGTCTAGGTCAAGATGATTTAAGAAAGGAAAAGGGTAGAAAAAGTGGTGAAAAGAGGGAGTGATTTGGGGAGGAGTAGGCAGAGAAGGGGAAAAACTCAACATAAAGCCCCTCGGAAAGGACTCCCATACCTTTCCTTTGGGAGAATCAGGAAAGAAGACTCACACAATAGTGCTAGGGCAACCAACAGATGGTCCTCAAATCTGGGAGTTGTTTTCCCAAACTTTGGGAGTCATTTTTCCAAGACCCTACATGTAAGATTTTTTTTGTTGCTCTATGATTATTGCACATTTGAAGCCCACATAACCTTTTCTGTTCAGCTAAAAAAAGTCACCTTTATTCAAAAATCACCCCTGATAAAGTAGCTGCCCACCACCCCTGCAAAGTATACCATATAAGCATCTAGCTCCTGAGACATATTGTCATTTCCTTTCATGTTTGTTCTTTACTGTGTACTACCTGCACATTCCAGCCTTATTTTCTCCCATTTTTCAAAATCATTTTTACACTAGATTTTTATTTTATTTTCCAGTACAACAGCAAAAAGGGGAAAAAAATAATGATGCCAAAAAATTGATGATGATGATGGATTTTGATATCACTAGACTAGAACCCATGAGCTCATTGCACTTAGCTTCACTTTGGTTGTTATTGATCATGACACGCATCCTCTGCAGACATGAATGGATGCTGCTGCTAATCCATGTCAGTGGAAACCTGTTGCAGGATTTCCTATGCATGAAGCATGCCAGTCAATGAGCGTTAGCGGTAGCGCCGGCCATGACTGTCTCGGGAAGCAGGAAGCGCAGACCGACGAAGAATCCGATTGAAAAAGTGTGGTGGCTAAGTAACATGTAGGTACACCGAGGGATCCTTGCAGTCGATTCCTGCTGCAAGTCCAAGAAACAATATAGCAGTTGTTCATTCGTGTTCAACTCCAGCACAGATCTCCTGCATTTTTGTGCATCCATGTTAGGACGTTCAAATCCCGCTGGCCTGGATTGCTTTTGTCCACAGCAATCATCAATCCAAAATGGGTCGAGGTGTGTGCAAGTCTCATAAATAGGAAAATCGCAGCGAACAATACTTACAGGACATCCTTGCATTGCAACTCTTTGCAGTCCATCTCCTCTGTCGATCAACTCATGCCCACACATGTCTGCATTGCTCTCCTTTTTCATTCGTGGCTGGTGATCTTATTCTCTCTTTTGTATCGAGAACAAGCCTGCATAAGAATAATCCACTCCCATTCCAAAAAAACCTTGTAATACCTCTCTACATTCTTATCACTCTCTTGAAAATTTGTCCCTATAATTTTTTTTTCTTGATACTGCTTTCAGCGCCGAATCGAAAGGATGACGGAGCATCTAAGGACGGTTTTTGATGACAAGGCCAGCCAGAAGCTGCCAGTGTTCGTGGGATTTATTACTGCAGGTTAGAGATTCGAATTGATTGATTGGTCGTTTTCTTTCCGCATTGAAGTCTCAATCTCCGGTTGTTGTTTCTTGGTTTCCGTGTTTTTTTTTTTACATGAGCAAAAAGGATATCCAAGCCCTCAGCTCACGGTGCCATTGATGCTGGCAATGGAAGCCGGCGGGGTGGATGTTATCGAGCTGGGAATCCCATTCAGCGAACCTTCCGCTGATGGTCCGGTGATCCGGGAATGTCATGAAGTCAGTAGCGAACTTATCCTCAAAACATCCCACCATTCTTATCTTGCAAAGGAAAACAAACATTGATCTGGTTTGGGAGCTCATTTACAATAATGATTAGGTTGCTTTATGGTACAAGGTAGACTTCAAGATGTGTCTGAAGTTCATCTCTGAAGCCCGGTTGAAGGGGTTGAAAGCCCCCGTGATTCTAATGGGCAAGTATCACCCGTCTCCTTATTTTCATCATGGATTTTTAGACCTTGGACCCGAGTGACCGAAAGAGCTGAAGAAAAAAAAAACATCAATGAAGGTTATTACAATTCGGTGTTCTCATATGGCGAGCAAGCCGCGGTAGTCGAAGCCAAGGAAGCCGGCGCGAATGGGTTCCTGATCACCGATCTACCGTTCGAAGAAGCTTTCCAGTTTCAAGTCTTATGTGCCAGATCTGGGTGAGTTAGCAATCGTCATCCTTGAAAAAAAAAGAAGAAGAATAAATTTAGACTACATACACTAACATAACAGAGTGCTTGATTGATTCTCCATCCAAATCCAGATTAAGCTATGTGCCGTTGATAGCACCAAACACGTCGGACAGTAGGATCCGCTTGTTGGCTTCGAAGGCCGATTCGTTCATCTACGTCATATCACAGGCAAGTGAGGATGGAGCCTACCTATACCTCTCACACCGTCAGCTGATACACGATGACCACTTTGTGCATGTTGGCGGACCAGCTGGGGCCCACGGGAGCTAGAAGCCAGGTGGCAAGCTCACTGCCAGAGCTAGTGACGCGGATCCGGAAGCTGGCGGTGCGGGCCGGCGGGATCCCGATCCCGCTGGTTGTCGGCTTCGGGATCTCGACGGCGGCCCAGTTCGACTATGTCGGCCGACTGGGGAACGGCGTCGTGGTGGGCTCAAAGCTGATCGAGGTGGTCAACTCCAAAAGGATCCCGATCGACGCACTGACCAAGTTCTGCGAGGAGATCTGCGGCAGAAGAAAGCCCATCACATCAACCACGTCCTCTCTGCCCAATCCCCCCACGGCTACTGCTCCCGACTCACTCGTCAATAGCAGGCCCGGAAGGTTCGGCATCTTCGGTGGCAGGTACCTGCCCGAGGCATTCATCGGAAGCTTGCTAGAACTCGAGAGCTGCTATCGGCAAGCCGTGGCGGACCCGAAATTCCAAGCCGAGTTGAGAAGCCATTACTCGTACCTGAACCGACCATCGGAGTTGTACTTCGCCCAACGGCTCTCAGCGCATGTCGGCGGGGCGAAGATCTGGCTCAAGCGCGAAGATCTCACTCTGACAGGCTCCCACAAAATCAACAACGTCCTCGGCCAAATCTTGCTCGCCCGGCGACTCGGTAAAACTCACATCGTCGCCGAATGTGCCGCCGGTCATCATGGCCTTGCAACCGCTACTCTTTGCAAAAAGTTCGCACTTAAGTGTTCCATCTTTATCGGCGAAGAAGATCTGCGTAGACGCCCCGACTCTGTGCGCAAGATTGAAAACCTGGGCGCAAAAGTCGTGATTGTTACCAGTGGAAACAAAAAATTGAAGGATGCAATCAGTTAAGCCTTGTAATTATTCTTCTTTTTCTTCTCTCCATCTCTCTTTTATATGTCCAAAATGTTATTGTTCAATCTTCAAAAAACAAAACTGACCTTTTTTCGTAAAAAAAAAAACATCTCAGATGATGCGATGAGTGCATGGGCCTCAGACTTTGACTCGACCCATTATCTGATTGGCTCAGCGATTGGGCCGCATCCGTACCCGACAATAGTGCGAGATTTCCAGCGGGTGATAGGAGAGGAGATCCAAGAGCAGCTGCAAGCAAGGCAGGGAAGGTTACCGGATGCAGTGGTGGCATGTGTGGGTGGGGGAAGCAATGCGATAGGGTAAGGGACTCTGTCTTGATCAGTCGATGAGGAGATAGATGATTGAAATTCTCCAAAAAAAATTCAGAGCCTTCCATCCGTTTATTGAGCAGCCGAGTGTGAGATTGGTGGGTGTGGAAGCGGGCGGGACTGGGATCGATGAGGAGCAACACTCCGCCTCGTTGACTAAAGGGACCAGAGGGATCTTCCATGGCGCGTTGACCTACGTTCTGCAAGACCAAGCCGGCAAGATCTGCTCCTCCCACTCGATCTCCGCCGGGCTCGACTATCCTGCCGTCGGGCCCGAGTTGGCCTGGCTGAAGGAGAACGGTCGGGCGGAGTTTTGCTCGGCCACAGACTTCGAGGCCATCCAGGGCATCAAAATCTGCGCCGAATTCGAGGACTTCTTGCCCTCGATAGAAGCCGCTCATGCTGTCAATAGAACTATCCAAGTGGCTAAAGAGCTCGGTAAAGCTGCTGATGTCGTCCTTGTGAGTCTTTCTTTCTTCTGTTCAAATCAACTGCATCTCACGCTCAATCACTCATCCTTTTCCTCTTGGTAGTGCTTGTCTGGCAGAGGCGAACCAAACTTCGAAGGCGTTCTCAGCCAAACCTGACTCAACTTTTTGTGAATACTTGCACTGACATTTTGCGGACTTGATTTCAATTCCTTTTGTTTGGCTGAATTGCAGGATGTGCAGGCTACTAAGTATCTCAGTCACATAATAATTTTCCGACACTTACAAAGGAATGCTATGATGTTGTAGACCTAACTCGACAGAATTTCCTTTATAATACCATGAAATCACACCCTCATTAGCCTCAAGCGAAATGAACTGTTGTTGCTGGGAGAGACACTTGCACGGTGTACGATACTTTAGAGGGGAGGAGTCTAAGGAAGACCAGTAATGCACCAGTAATACAATGACCCAAGATCGATCTGCAGGCGGGATGAATTGATGAAAACATACGCGAGGAAACAAAGAAACCGTGGGTCAAGTTATGGGACATCATGGGATTGGGGACCACATCTTTCTGACTGCGTAAACACATTGAAGAAATGAAAAAAAAAACATTCTTCTTCTGAGGATAGAAAACATGAGGGGAAAAAAATGATAGATGTATGTTCGTAACGATGGCAAGCATAGATAGAATGTTCTGGTTTTGATGGTAATTAAGCAAAGCTCCAAAACAGGTCCCGAGTGGGGACTCCTGGAGCAGATGAATCCCCGTTCGAAATGGTGTCGGGCTGAGGGTTAACACGGCTGAGAGCTTGAGAGGGATTAGATAAAGATTGACTTAAAGTGGTGAGGTCTGAAGTCAGATAAATTTTCTTGACGGATTCCAGGAGTTGATGATGATGATCAAGGTTATTCAAGATTCCGACCCCAGAGACTCCGATCTCAGTTTCATAAGCCTTCATCGAGTGAGCCTCAATATTCGTAACGATTGTCGACAATTTTTCTTCTTCGAAATCTGGGGTGAGATTGTTGTCATTGTGTTTCGGACGGCAGGGAATAAGAGTTAGCCAGAGGTCAGTCCTGCATGGATCATAGAAAGAATGGGAATTCAGAAAGACTGACTGTCGGGTATCAATGTGATGGCACATCCACCACCGCCCGCTCCAGTTAATTTAGTTTCCAATCCACAGTTAGCAGCAAACGATTTAACGAGGTCGAGTTGACTGTGACCAACGCCTAAAGAAGAAAGTAACGAGTGATTTCTAGCCATTAAGTGTCCTAATTGATTGAGGATTTTATTCCTTTTCGTCTTCAACAACTCTTGGTCTGGGTTCTGACCATCTTTCGAATCCGGTTGCTTAATTACCGCCAATTCTTTGATAGATTCTTGTGCAGAAATTGTAAGCTCCTCGATTTCGTCAAGGATACTCTGAACAAGTTTGGGATCTTTCTCCTTCTTCTGGGCGACGCCGGCGACTAAGGATTTGGTATCTCTTGGTACTTGGGTATCGCTAATCAAGATCCTGATCGCTCCGAAACCTTGTATCTGTTCGATCGATTGCCTCTTTTGTTGGTCGTTCTCTCCGATCAATTTCTGGAAACAGATCGCTCCTCCGAAACTAGAGACTGTATTGTCTACTCCACTTGGACTACCATGCAAGATCTTTTCTCCTAAGAATGCCCATCGATTGATCGTTTCTACTTGGGTTGTCTCGATGCCCTTTTGGGTGGGGATTGCGATGTGTTGGTGACTGTAAAGGAGTGCGCTGGCCAAACAAACTGAGTATGATGCCGACGAACCCAAACCTGCTCCAATTGGTAAGGTCGAACGGATTGTGAAAACTTGCGAACGTCTGTTTTCCTTCGTAGCCAAGTGCATGAACAAGTATAAGAAAGCATGTGCAGCCTGGAGCACGCTATTTTTGTCGGCTTGACCCGCTACCTTGGTCAGAAGAGCCTGCGATAGTTGAGGATTCACATGTAATTCACCTTCGCCTGTGGGCTTGACGCAATCCCAAGGTAGCTGGTTGATTGGCCAAGAGCCAGACCAACCCGAGTCGGGTAGACATAATGCGACGGTCTCGATGGTTTGGTATCCTCCCGGTTCGACGAAGCAGTAACAGCGTCGATTGACGGCAGCGGCTATCGCTTTCTTGCCGTAGACGACAGCATGTTCCCCAAACAAGATGATCTTCCCTGGTGCTGAGACCAATAAGGTGGTGGGATTTCCCGAGGACCCGAGATAGTCTTTTTGGGGTATCATCGCTTCCGCAGGAGAAATCGGTAAAGAGTTCATTCCGACTCGTTCGTAACCCGAGTCGACCCTAGTCTCATCAAGAATCCTGATGGCACCTGCCTCGACTAAGGCTGCTTGTAGCTCTTCTAGTAAATCATCTGGATCTTCGATTCCCACACACAGCCTGATCAGATCTTCTGGCAGGTTTCGGGCGGCCCGAACAGCGGGATCAATCGAGGCGTGACTGAAAAGAAGATTGATACAGCCAATTGAGCTGATGAACAAAGGGGTAATAATGAAAAAAGTGTGTTCCTTTCGGGCAGCTTACGACATTAAACAAGGCATACTGATCAAGCTATTGACACATCCAAAACTAACACTGACACTCCATAGTCGGGCGGAGCTGACAATTTTTTCGCTCAATTTCTTGTCGCCCGTCTCAAAACTGAGCACGGCCCCGGGTCCTTTGGCCAGACGGTCGTGAATCTCTTTTCCCTTGTGATGGGCTAGACCGGGGAAATTGACCTTGAAGCCCAACTGATCGAGGTACTTGGCAACTCGGATTGCAGAGGCTTGTTGACGGTCCATACGTAAGGAGAGGGTCTTGATCCCTCGGGTAAGCAGAAAACACTCGAAGGGGGCCAGTCCATTGCCGATACTGTTGATGACGAAGGCCAGCTGTTTCGCAATCTTATCGGAATTGCAGGTCACCAATCCGGCCATCACGTCGTGATGGCCACTGAGGTATTTGGTGCCCGAATCGTAGACGACGTCCGCGCCGAACTCGAGCGGTTTCATGAGATAGGGGGACATCATCGTATTATCGACGACGATGATCGCCTCTGGGATGACGGCTTTGACGAGATTGATGACTGCTTCGATGTCAACGATTTGGAGGAGTGGGTTGGTGGGGCTTTCGAGGAGGACCATTCGTACTCGACTGTCTTTGACCAGGAACGGCTTGAGGTTTTCCAGGTTGGTGGTATCGATGTGGTGAGTGATGATCCCATTATGTTCCTTGACATAGGTTAGTAAGCGATTCGAGCCTCCGTAAAGATCGTTTCCTGCTATGATCTCATCACCGGGTTGGAGGGTACGCAGGATGACATCTAATGCGGCCATACCAGAGCTAACGGCAAATGCATGTTTGGCTTTGGAAATTTTGGCAACATGGTGTTCTATGAATGTAGAGAGAGGAATGTAAGCTTATCAAGATGAATTTGATTATTTTTTTTGGTAGAGTAAGATTATTAATAGACTGACGAAGGAATGTCCGACTGGGGTTACCGCTACGAGTATAATCATACAGTCCATCGACGCCTTTGAAGGTCGAACTTTGGTAAATTGGTACGCTACTCGATCCATATCGATCCTGGTGGTCCTGATCGGGATTTTCGACAGTTGCACATAGGGTCGAGAAGCGATGAGGGGCAGGCTGCCTGGCTACTCGACTTGAGCTGGATACCACTGAGGCAGACAATGGAGAGGACTGATCAGAGGATGAGTTGGTCGATTGATCGAGGGTACTACTGTTGTTGTTGTTGTTATTCATCTTTTTGCTCTTTCGAATGCAACTGTGCTCTTTTTCCTTCTTCTTCTTGTTTTTGTTTTTGTTTTGTGCAGCGTTTTGAAAGGACCGGCGACCTTTTTCAAGATCCAAGGAAAGCGAAGACTTGATGAAATTGTTTGGGAGACTGCAACCACCAAAGCAGTACACCTCTTGGGAGTGCTCTGGCGGTGGTCTCGGCTTTACACAAGCTCACACATGCATCATGCGGGTCGGCTGGGATGCGCGGGTGAAACTCCGACAGCTCCCGACGTCACCGCTGAAGAATTTCAAGCACTGCCCCAATACATTTCCAAAAAAAAAAACCAAAAGCTGGCCCAATTCAAAGCACATGCAAATCGAAAATCAACCAGGCTACTCAGGGGACAGCCGAAAGGGGCATTGGATGCCCATCAATAGTTGCCCATAACCAGGAGTGAAGACAGACCCAAGATAGTGGGGTGGCATTGACATCCTAGCTTAGTAACGAGTGGCCAACACCCTCCTTCATCTTATAAAGACTTGGGTCAAATCAAAATACGACAGTTGAACTTTTGGAAGCCTGGATTGATCGAAATAATGTAAATAATTGAAAAAAAAAATTGCGCTGAAGAACCAGGCCTCAAGTGCAGTTTCTGCTTTGGGGCTCCTCTCTGGAATTGGGGCGCATGCGTTGTCTACATGAAGCAATGGAGTCTTGCGATTTGCTCAGCACAACCAACTGTGGCAAGAAGCTGTGGGGACATTAGAGAGAGCACAAGGCTCTCCAGCTACACGCAGTGCCAACCAAGCCCTCCAAGGATATACATAGATCATGTATCTTCGGTAGGCTAGGAGATTGAGGATCAATCATCTCATCCCAGCTGGTAATCATACTAAGACTAGACGTAACAGTTGCAAAATCATTAAACAGAGAATCTAACGGAGTACAGAAAAAAGTAATAATTCAGGAATAAGCACGTAAAAAATAATCAAATCAAAGCATGATCATGGACGACTTCCCGTCACATCTGCGGGTCTCCCAGAAGCGATTTAGAGGCCATAAAAGCTAGATTTCCCAGCGAAATTCTAGACTTTTCGGGTCTAAATCAACATCTTCGAGGGTTCCAGATCCGACGGGAAGTCCTCCATTGGAGGACTTCCCGTCAACATCTGCAGGTCTCCCAGAGTCGGTTTAGAGCCGCAAAATTCAAATTTCTCTGCAAGAATTAAGAGTTTTCGGGTCTAGATCGACTTCTGCGAGGGTCCCAGATCCGACGGGAAGTCCTCCATTGGCCTGTGTGATTTTATATCTTGGCTTGCCAACTCTAGATTAGCCCGGTTCACGTAGCTGCTTGTTCCCATTTGGCGGAGTCTCACGCACAATTTAAGCGAAACAGTTTAAGCGACAAGCAGTGCGACTTTTCACGCATGTCATAAAAACGCCCTACGTGAACCGGGCTATTTGGTGCAATTCACTCAATTTGTAAAACAAAAAAATGGAGACATGGGAGATTGGTGTGGAAAATGTTAACAATCCAAGATAACAAAAAAAAGAAACGGCTTATCAAGCTGTACAGATTATATCTTCATCCAACAAACTCCAGTACAAAGCCATTCTCTCTTTTCACTTCTGGATACATTCATCAGAAAGAAAACTAAAATCTATATTAGACTGTGAAAACATGACAAGAGAATTAATGGTTCAAAAGAGCAATACTCATTTATAATTGAAACCAGCTGTGAAAGGAAATGGGTCTTGTAACTTGCTTCTGAGTTGATGGTGGATAAATTCTTGCCCAAGTAGAAGGGAAAACAGGTGAGAATTTTGAGAAAATGGAAATTAGAATTGAAGTTGATTGAGAACATCTATGGGAAAACAAGAATGATTAAGATTCCTCATTGACATATCTTAGCCATGGCCCTATGAGTTTCTTTGGTTTATAAGAAAAGAAGTTAAGAACATTTGAGACTTCATCAGAGGGCCACATCAGAGCTTTTGTTGGTTGATCTTCCCAAGGTATGATTTTCAATGGCTTCAAATTTGGTAAAACATTTTCTTTGAACCTCTGTCCCATGGAAGTGTACATCATTGTTGAGCCTGCTGTGACAAAGATATCAGTCATTCTCTCATCATTTATGAAGAAAATATTCCACTTTTTGAGGTTTTTGATCTTGTAATAATTTGATAAGAGATGCACCACAATTTTAGTTAAGATGATATCACCCATTGATATCTCAAACCAATGTGTGTTTATATTATTTGCATTCCTTGTTTTGTAAATTGGTTTATCATTTAGGAGAAGGAAATAATCTTGCATCAACTCTTCAAGGTGTTCTAGAAGCATCTGATTGAATGTACTTGGAGATTCAGGAAAACCACTCTGATGAATTTTCTTAACATTTCTTTTAAAAAAAACTGCACCAAGAAAGCTTTGAAACAACTTTTGTTGGTTATAGAAAACCTCACTGTCTCTTTGAGAACCAAAAACTCTAAGCAATTGGGAATTGATTGACCAAGTAAAATTGACCAATCTAATTATTTTATCTTCAATTATCTTTCCATGATTCAGTTTAAATTCCGTTGCTTTTGCTTCCCCAAGTTTTCTTCCAATCAATTTCAAGACATAGTCTTCCATCCCAATCTGTAGTTGGATGCACTCTTTGCCAACAATCCCGGGTACCCTCCGTATTCCTTTTAATGCAATCCTGGCAATCAATCCCCATTTTTCTTCAACTGTATTCTGACTCTTTGAAACCCTCATCTTCAGATTATCTTCTCCATCAATTCTATCTACATTTGAAATTGGCTCTACAAATCGCGAGAACATAAAATCTGTAGTGTGATGAACCTTTGGGAACTTTTCCAAAAAATTTGACTCCCATGGTATGATGATTCCCAAATATTTTTCATCAGTATATCCAACATCTTCTCTCAAAAGCTGTGCTATGGTTTTTCCATTGGATCCCATGAAGTTGGCAATTTCTAGTACAAAAATCTCTTCATTCTCAAAAATCTGCTTCCATTTTTCAGGGCCCATCTTCTTATAGTAATAACCAAGGATTTGAACAACAAATTTGATCATCAGGATTTGTTTCTTGGAAACAAGTAGATGTTCCTGTGAATTTTGTTCCCCATTTGAAGATACTTTGTAATGAGGTTTTGATCCATCAGAGTGAATAGCATCCAATAGCATTTGGTGAAATGGCATCTCTATGTTGTGAAATCTATGCCTATGATGGACATTCTGGTTTGGAATTGTTCCCCTGTTTCTCAGCACAAAATGAACAAACCATGTCATGAGATTTCTTTGTTCTTCAACACAAGCTCCCAAAGATATCCCAGGACAAAGTAATTTGAGTACTCTTAAATTCACTGCCCATAATAAGCAAAACATTCTTGCTATATTCTCATCCCAAGTGTGCTTTGGATTTGATGAGCTGTCACTGATGTGAATCAGATCATTTTGGAAACATTCCTGTGTCAGTTTTTGGATATATCTTTGGGTCTGTTTCTTGATGAATCTTGATGTTTCAAATTCTTTTTCATATTCTGACATTGCTGAAATCCATGGCCAGATTCTATGATCTACATTCACAAAACTCAAATCCCTGTCTTCATCTTCTATTCTTGATGAATTTTCTTTGCCCACCCTTGTGGAACTAGCTTCAGCTTTATCTTGATTGATATTCTCTTCTTTTGTTGAGCTTTGAATCCTATGTGCATCTTGAACCTGGGCTAAAGTTCCAGTACGTGTGGCAAAATGATCATCTAAATTATTGATAACATGACCTGAGTGGCTTCCCGTCTCAGCAACACCTGGATTTTGAGGTTTGAATCCCCTTTCAAAGGAGGGAAGATCTGTATTTTTGCTTTGGCTTTCAGTCCAAAACCCTTGAGGAAAATTCATACCCATTCCATCACCTGGTTTTGCATCAAGATACGGATTTTTTTGTTTGAAAAAAAGAACAGGTTCTCATTTAGCTCATTCCGATTGCCAAATAAAATGTCATCATTTCATAGAGAATTAAAAATTCTTGGGGCTCTAAAGTACAAAGAACCGGGTGCCATTTACCATTTTCCTGAAGTTTTCCTGGAAGAACATCGACAGAGATTGTTGACTCTGGCTCCTTCACATCAAAAGGTAATGATAAAGATAGATCTAAGCAGATTTTCTTTGATGCTGCGGGTTGATTTTTTGTCTTTCCGTCAATCCCTTCTTCCATCCACGCAATGGACGGCCTCTTTCTAGTTTCAAGGCAGCCAGACGATGTGTGGCTTGATGCTAACCCTAACCCAGCCACCGCATATGTAGTAGAGACGCAAAGTTAGCCTATCGGTAAGTCAAAGCACCACGATAACAGGATTAGACTGACCCGAAAGCAGATCCAAAGCTTTTGGAGAATTCGGTTCAGTTGGAAATAGATATGTGTTCAAAACCTGTTCAATGCCAATGCCTTGGTTGTGTGAGCTATCTCGGACGAGGTTCTGCCGGGAATGAAACCCGGCTTCGCCTTCAAGCGAATGAATCGGTGGTTTCCAAGTGGCTGAGAGAAAGTCGACATGTAGTAACATGACAAAGGCTGCTTTAATAGGTTCATTTTTCTTTAGATGCATAGCTACCAATGAGATGCGGCAAACAAGTCGTCTTCAAAATCTTTAGTTGGAAAAGGAGAAACAAGCACGATGGCTATCAATATCATTCCACACCATTGATGTAATGATTTCAACCTGCAGCAGTAGCTTCGCAGTCGATGTAAGAAATTGATACTTGCTTCTCTGAAACACGCCCTTAAATGCGACCATTTTTACGATAACATACCTTAACGGACTGTAGCGATCAAAGTGTTGGCACAAAGTTTGAAAGGGTGCTCGTTCCAGCTTGTTCTGTCATGAAGCGCTAGATGCGCAGGGTTGATTAATCAGTCTATTTGTAAGACATGTGCGCCTTCTAGAGGCACCTAGTGTAAACAAAACCTCTTGAAAAGATCATTACCCCATGCAGATTTGTTTTTTTTTGTGACTTGTGGCCTGTAGTAGCACATGGAGAAGTGTTTATTATCTGAATTTCTCATCGAAAAAAAAAAAGAATTGTCTCAATCAAACGCATCCTTATATAACAAGGTGTAATGACAAGTTCAACAAAGGCAGTTTCATCACACATTGGTCAGACAGGCAGACAACCTCTGTCTGAACAGAAAACTTCTCGGACCTCATGTTTCATTAAAACTCAGCATATTCTTGTTCTAGTTCTCTAACAGTGATCTTTGCTCACGGACACGCAGCCATTCTCATCAGACAGACGGAATGGATTGCAGACTCGATAAATATACTTTCAATCATAGGCTCAGTTTGTGGTTTAAAAAAGGGGATGAGAATGAGTTCCTCTTTGGAATTCTCAATGAACTTTATCAACTGAAGCTTTTGACCGAAATTGAATTTACTTCAGCTGCTTCTTTGTGTACAGCTTTAGCGATGAACACCCATCCTTCAACGTGTATAGCAAAGTTCCAAGACGCGAGTTTTCTTTTTTATTTATTTAATTATTTCCATGCTATGATAATAATTGCCAGAAGGTCAGAGATAGTGTGTAAGTGTGGTTCATGATATGGAGAATCAAAAGACAAACATCAGGCGGCTCTTCCAGCGGTTGTTTGCTTCTCATTCTGTTGTCGCTTGTCTCAGCGTTCCGGCTCATTCGACGCGACGGCTCCTTTGAAGCCTTCACTTTTTTCAAGGGTACCTCCCGAGAAATCACTAATCAGGAAACAAAAACAAGTTGTTTTTCTCGTCGCAAACGGTCCCGGATCATGGACAGAGTGCCTCTTGACGGACATTGTGTGCCATCCGGTGCAGATCTTTGCTATCCTGTAGGAAAGAATTGACAGCCAGAGTATTCCGGTTGCAACAGGAAAATAGAGTGAATCAGAGAGTCACGATTACCTTGGTATTAAGTCATCCGAACGTTTGCCGTCTGACACATTTACCTGAGGGAGGAGGAAAATTTAAGGCTTCAATCCGGAAAGGTTTCATTTTTGGCATTATCAAAAATATAATTATTAGCCTGGAAATAAATCTCCGTGCAAATTGTTGCAGAGCACAATACACCCTAAAAACTCGCCGCGTTGGCGGAAGCTACATAGACAACCACCAACAAGGGAAGCAAGCTTCTTTCAGAGCAGCTGACTGACCAGACGCGGAGCAATAGTGAGAGAAATGTGATACTTGGTAGTGTTCAGCTGCTGCCTTTCATACTGGCTTGTAGCATCTATCAAACTGACTCCGCTGAGCCTTGCTGAGCGCTCCTCTGAAGCCGTTGACTCAATTGATTGAAGCAGCTCGAGTCTCAGCAGACTAACAAGTGCTGCTACAGAAAAGTCTCCGCATGGATAAAAGGTATTTATAGACGTACGTCTCCAGCCATACCGTCTCCCCTCACCCCATCTTCAGTGTCCATCTCTCCCTCCGCCTCCCTCCTCCTCCCATACTAAAAGAGCTCCTACAAAAAAAAAAAAAACTTAGTCTAATAGTTATACAATATGAATGAAGCATTGATAGAGGGAACCTTTGCGGCTTTATATCGCCTGCCACGCCGTCGCCTTCAATTGATCTTTCTCGATGAATTCGATGGTCTGTACGAAATCTTCGAAGAATTACAAGATGATCCTCACTGCAACGGCCTGGACGACGACCGATACCAACGGTTCCTTGGGCCTGTTCCATCTCACATTGTTCGAGCATTTGTCAGGTTGGATGAAGGAGAGCTTTCTAATGAGGACGCCTTCACAAGAGATCCACTTGAAACACCCTTGATCCAAATTTATGCTCTCTGGAGGTCTTCGATTAGAAGTCTTCACACATTCCGACGTGCAACCTTCGCTTTCTTGGACTCTCTGATTGTATCCGACGCGACTGCTGCCGCCGCCTCGCCCGACGGTGAAGCTTTGGAATGCCAAATTTGTGCCGAGGACATCATTCAACCTGGACAGATCATTCTGCAACTTCCCTGTCACCCCACCCATCTCTTTCACCGCGAATGCCTTCAAGTAAGCATCTTTCTTTAACCTCTGCAACCTCCACTCTTCATAGCTAATTTCAATCCTTTGCTGTTGCAGCCCTGGCTTGTATCGGCCGACACCTGCCCTGTTTGCCGGGCTGTGCTTGTTATGCTTCCTCGTCAGCAGCCCGCCCCCCACCTGAATTGACGGTGCTGGCCTTCTTCTCTTGTAATATTTTGTAGTAGTGAATTTGTATCTTGAAAATCCATGCAATATATGCTTCTTTCCATTTTTGTGTCATGAGCAAGTCCAATCACTTCAATCTAAGCCGCACGAAAGCGCAACAAACTCCAATGTCTGGGGTGGTGGTTATAAAAATTACGCAACCCGTTGAGATACAGACAACAGATGAATCCGAAGATGTCTGAAACAGTTGCGTGAAAAGGGCCTTGCCTTCCGAATCATTGTCTTGGTGAGATCTGATCAATTATCGCGTCTTGATCATAGATTGAGCAGAGTCGAGGTGTCAAGTAAGGTGGATCATGAGTGCTGTGACTCCGCAACTTTTGCTCCCCTATGTCAGCGCACTCTAGATGGCTTGATTTTGGGGGTATCCAATTGGATATAAGTATCGCTTCAAAAAATTGCAAATGTGTAACCACCACAAATTAACTTGCAAGCCCGATGTGGGGTACTGGCGGCTAGCTTTGCAGCTGCCCATCTGCGCGCTCATTTTCAAATATGAAGGATGACGAGGTGAATAAGACCCCGAACTCCTTCATGAAAAGGATCACTGGATGATAGCTTTCCAGCAGTTTAAAATTCACTATCGGAAGTACTTCAAGCTTATTGCAAGAAATCTTATCAGCAGAAACCCGCTTGCCCTGTCAGACATTCTCTATCTGCCATTATTCATCTCATCATTCACTCTAACCGAATACTTCAACATAACACACTGACAAGCTATCTCCGCTCATTCAATGCCCCTTCTTTCCAAACTGATGTTAATGCAGATGAAGTTTCGGCCCCTAATTGCACTCAGCAAACAACGGACGAGCTCTTCAGGTGTCACCTCACAAGAAAACCTCAAGCTTGTATCGCGTCTTGCAGGCCCGGGGGCCCTTGAGTTCAATCTATCTTTGCAGTCCCCTTTTCAACTGCCTCATGGTAAGAATCAATCAAGCAACCTAGCCGACCTTTTCAAGTTGTGATATAAACTTGTAGCGGAAGGCTCAGAATTCAAACCACCAATAGACCCCAAACCGCTTGCACCGTACGAGCGCAGACGGAAACCATTGATGCCACAAAAATGGGAAGATTTCCAAGTCGATGGATACATTAGATGCTATCCGTATGGAATTGAAGTAAACCTTACTCTCAGTTCAAAGGATACTTGCTTTACATACCGGAGATTTATCCCTGACCCCCACAGATATTAGCATCTCAAAACAAACCCCTCATGCGCGAGGCCAGTTCCTCATTAAATTTCACTCCTTTCGAATCCAACTCTGCTCTCTCGTTCGTGGTAGAGCAAGGTGGGTGTTAAGAGCAGTAGAACAAATAGGATTCTGTGAGAATTCAATCTACATTGTCATTGCATTAGCTAGAAGTCAACCAAAAAGCAAGTTGATTTTATAGGGTCTAATCCAGCCAATTAAATTTCACATTTTCAGCTCAGGAAGGAGGTTCTTTCAATCCAGCCATTGGGAAAATATGATAAACTTCATAGAAATAGTCGAATATCACAGTTGTAGTTGTACAGCAAACTTTGGGACCATGAAAGGTGGTGAGGTTTGTTGCAAGTCAGACACGGGATATTGATGACTCGGAAAGAAAGGTTGGCTCAAGTTTATACCATAAGAATTGCTGGTCATATACTTAGGAAAAAGGCGAGTACCGGAAAAAATTTGAAACTTTTTTTTAATGGTTGCTCGCACTTAATTGGAGTTTCAGAAAGGGTTTATTAGTATTGTCGTGAGCGCAACTATCAGCATATCATTGGCAAAGAGAAACTCAACAGAGGAACATAGAGAGGCAAATATTTGACAAGGAGGAAGGTTCTAAGGGCATAGCCAAGTTTGTCACATATCAACAGACAGTTCCATTGAATCCTTGTCATTTTCTTCTCCGCGCACACCTTGAACAATGACCCTCTACCCTTCAACAGCTCAAGTATAATCAGAAAGTGCGCGCGTGTGTTTTCGGATATTATCATATCATGCTGATGATTGGGGGTTTAGATGGTGTGTAGACGTGATTCATGATAGGGAGAATGAAGAATGAATCTTCGGGCAACATCTCCTGAGGCTTGTTCTTTCTCCCTCTGATGTTTTGCGTCTCATTGTTCACGACCAAAAGAAATCTTAACTTCCATCAGTTCATGCGCGTCACCTGCTTTGAGACCTCTCCCTTCTCGTTTAAGGGCACCTCCTGAATAATGTACAGTCTCCTCCCAGATGTTTATGGCAGTTGACTTACTTAATTTAAAAAAAATATACACATTCTTTATTTCCCATTTTTTTTGGGGAGTGGTAGATAGGGAGATGATAAAAAAGAGTATGAAACAATAGAATAGGAAAAGTCATTGCTTGACATTTTAAAAAAATAAAAGCAAAATTTAATTTTTTTTTTTTTTCTTTAATAATTTTTTTAAAAATAAAACAAAATATGAGGAGTTTAGCTGAGATGCTAGAGACAATGATTATCAAATAAAAAATTTACAAAAATGAAAAGGTGTGCGTCTGGGCGAGGTTTTGGCGCGGCTACCAATAGATTCAAAGCCTCGTGCTCAGGATGAAGCGAGTCGGTCGTCAAGCTGGGACGAGGTTGATGGTGTGCGTCTGGGCGAGGTTTCGGTGCGGCTACCTCTAGATTCAAAGCCTCGTGCTCAGGACGAAGCGAGTAGGTTGGGTACCCGTCGAGGGGATGAATCGATCCAAGCGGGTCCTTTGAAAGGGCTTCGGTCTTCTGACTGGTGGAGGCTGATGATGAGGCTGTCGGAACTTGGAAGGCTGGCAGAAGTTGAAGGTATGGTGGATCCCAATCGTTCGGCTGAGTGATGTTTGGCTGAGTTAGCTCTCCAATCAGTCAGTCGCCGCACGGGCTCAAGTGGATCTGTGACAGGTTTACCCCCAGACATAAACATCTGGGAGGATACTGTACAAAGAAGAAAAAAAAACTTCTTCCTTTTCGCAAGCGGTTTTGGATCATGGTCAGAGTGCCTCTAACCGGGTATTGTACCTCTCCGGCACGGGGCTTTATACAGAAAAGGATTAATGGCCAGGTTCTCAGGTTCTTTCGGCTGTGACAGGAAAGAAGAGTGAATCTGAGAGTCTTGATTTCATTGGTATGAAAATACTTCGGCAGTTTCCCGTCCAACACCTATGACTAGGGGGATAAGCAAAAACAAAAGGCTGCAATCCAGCAATGTTTTTTTCGGCTTTGTCAGGAAGACGGTTAGCCTGAAATTATATTTACGTGCAAGTTTTTGCAGAGCACAATACGCCTGGAAAAAACTCGCCGCTTCAGTAGAAGCTACACCACCAGTATTAAGGCAAACAAGACATTTTGTTGGAAGCAGTTGGCTCATCAACTGTTCAGAGAGATGTAGAGAAATCGTGATACATATCTCACAAGGGGACCAATGTTCAGTTGCTGCCTTACAATACAAACATCAATTTTAGCATCAATCAAGCCTCTCCTCTCCTCTGCAGCCGTTGAATCAATTGATTGAAGCAGCACCAGTCTCAGCAGACTAACCCCCGAGCCTACTACAAGTGCTGCTGCAGAAAAGGCTCCGCATGGATGAAAGGTATTTATAGACGTACTGCTCCAGCCAAACCGCCCCCCTCACCCCATCTTCAGTGTCCATCTCTCTCTCCGCCCCCCTCCTCCACCCATACTAAAAGAGCTCCTACAAAAAAAAACAACTTAGTCTAATAGTTATACAATATGAACGAAGCGTTGATAGAGGGAACCTTTGCGGCTTTATATCGCCTGCGACGTCGCCTTCAATTGTTCTTTCTCGATGAATTCGATGGTCTGTACGAAATCTTTGAAGAATTACGAGATAATCCTCACTGCAACGGCCTGGACGACGACCGATACCAACGGTTCCTTGGGCCTGTTCCATCTCACATTGTTCGAGCATTTGTCAGGTTGGATGAAGGAGAGCTTTCTAATGAGGACGCCTTCACAAGAGATCCACTTGAAACACCCTTGATCCAAATTTATGCTCTCTGGAGGTCTTTGATTAGAAGTCTTCACACGTTCCGCCGTGCAACCTTCGCTTTTTTGGACTCTCTGATCGTATCCGACGCGACTGCGGCCGCCACCTCGCCCGACGGTGAAGCTTTGGAATGCCAAATTTGTGCCGAGGACATCATTCAACCTGGACAAATCATTCTGCAACTTCCCTGTCACCCCACCCATCTCTTTCACCGCGAGTGCCTTCAAGTAAGTATCCATCTTTAACCTCTGCAACCTTCACACGCATCATAGCTGATTTCAATCCTTTTCTGCTGCAGCCCTGGCTTGTATCGGCCGACACCTGCCCTGTTTGCCGGGCTGTGCTTGTTATGCTTCCTCGTCAGCAGCCCGCCCCCCACCTGAATTGACGGTGCTGGCCTTCTTCTCTTGTAATATTTTGTAGTAGTGAATTTGTATCTTGAAAATCTATGCAATATATTCCCCCCTTCTTCTCTCCATTGAAATACCTTGAGCTTTCAATTGACTTAAATATAAAACACGCGAAAGCGCAACCCGCTAGAGTCTCTCAGTTTTTCAACTGTCTATGTAGAGTGGGGTAAATACAAGGCTCAAGCAAACCTGCAAGCTGACCCACCCCGAGATGCAGAACCTTCTTCCTGGGAATCAAATCCTTGCCTCCCAACTATTTACATGGCGAGATCCCAATGATCGTGTACCGTGGAGCAAAAACATGGATCTTGACGTTTCACCTGATTGAGCAGTGTAGGGGTGTGTAAGCTGCGATGGGGGGTCTCGTCGCCGTCTCGCAATTCCGCGCAGCCACCCCAGGGTAGCCCAGGTAAGGGGCTCCATCGGCAACATTGAATCCCGCTGTTCAACACTGAAACATCAAGCGTACCTGTAGCCTCGATGACGTCCGAAGCTCACACCTCAGACCCCAGCGCCCAGCTTTATGAAGCTGCCTCTCAAGAAGCAACCGGAAAGCCTGGTCTCCGACAAATTTTCAGTTCAACAGATTCCATTTCCTCAATCATCGTCGCATAACTTTTTTTTCATATATTTGCTCTTCTCCACTTGTCGCGGACCAGTCCTATAAAGTTATCACAATTTATACCATTCAAAGAGTAAGACTTAGGATAAATTATTTTTTTTCCTTTTTCTTCCCTTTCAATCATAGTGCCATAGATAACTTGCACTACAGTGAAAATAAAAAATATGACTTGCAGTTGCATTCCATTTTTTTTTGGAGTGAAGAAAACCCTGAAACTAGAAAAATGTGGATACTATCTCAACAAAAATAGGAAACAAAATTTGCACACCAAAAAAGGAAGGTTAAAACATAAGAAGTTGAACTCCTATAGGCTGATATTTACTGAGAAATCAGTTGAATGAAACTAATCATTTGACATTTGCTGTGATGAATCTTGAGACTGAAATTAGAAGGGAGATTTAAGTGGTCAGATTTTTGAGGAAATACGTGGTCTGCATTCAATATGTCCCCCCCCAAAAAAAATGGTTCCAAGAATTTGAACTGGATTGGGATGATTGAATCAAACAAAATTAATTCACACCAGCCATCAATACTTATAGTTGATAAATATGGGAATGAATTTAGCCAAATGTGCACTGTAGGCCCTGTGATACAATAATTATGTGAGTGGCTGTAACCAACGATCAATATCTGTGATACCTCTTGATCCGGCTTTGAATTTGAGCTTAGGCATTCTAAGGTTGATTTGATTCTTCCATGGAAAGACATCATATGGCTTGTAAGTTTTCCATAATTCAGTGCGTCTGTTTTTGTCACTGGTGCGGTGAAATAGATTTGAGCTCTTGTTGATTAGATGATTGAAGAAGAAATCATTCGAATCAAAAAACCAAATCCACTTCTCTTGATTCTTATTCTTGTAATAATTCCCAAGTATGTTTGTGACAATCTTGGCTGAAAGTATATCTCTATTTGTTAAAATTGCGGATTTTGAGTCTGTTAAATCAGTGTGATTAACTAAGAATTTTTGATCATTTTTATCTGATAGAAACAAATCAATCATCAAGTCCATGATTTGGTCATGTTGCATTTGATTTTTTTTATTTGGTTTGAGTTCTGATATTTCTATCCCTGAAAAAAATCTGGAAATAAGATACAATTGAACTGATCTTTGCTCATTGAAATAATCTGCCCCCCCAACTTGACCACCAAAAGATTCAATTAATTTTCCATTCAATACCCAGAGGATATCAAAGATTAGAGTTAGGATTTCCAGGACCTCTTCATCTGATTTTTCCGGAATCTTCTTTTGTTTCTCCCCAGAAAACATCTCCCCAGCAAGATTAGAAAGATAAGATCTGACGTTTCTTATGATTGATTCAGAAGTTGGCTGAAAGAATTTCTCAAATCCAACTTTACTATTAACTTTGACTCTTGCTATCCAGGCCCAGATTATGTCATCCTCATGTCTGCAAACAAAAAACTTTCTGATTGCAAAGTTTTGCATTTCTGATATGTCTTGTTCTTGGAAAACCGGCCTAACATCAATTTCAAAATGCAGCTGTTCATGATTCAAATCTTTCTTGATGGAATTCAACATTTCTGATGAACATGGATTGACCCATGGTATCACAACACTAAGGTGTTGTCTTGAATTCTCAATCCTCAATGCTGGATTAGCTTCTTGCTTCAAAATGTAGCACATATTGGCAAGTTGAACAGTAAAATTGTTGTTGTCTCTAAACAGACATTTCCATTTTTCCTGGTTTATATATTTGTGATAATACCCAAGAATTCCAATAACTGCTTCACTCATCAGCCTTTGTGAATTTGATATGAAGAGAGAGTTCTTGCTGAATTCTTCACAAGAGATATGATAGGCATCCATTTCTGCAGTTGCATGAATTGCTTGAGTGATCATTTTATAAATCTCCCCTTGATCAGGCCCTGGCCATTGTTGATAGAGAGAATGTGGATTTGGATAAGACATTGAATGGTATTTTTGACACCTCGAAATGAAATCATGGAACCATTTCAGGATTCTTTTGGCTTCTACAGCATAATAGCGCGAGGGTTTCCCAGGCACAAAGTATTTCAATATTTGCACATTCAGCCCCCACAAAATCATTGTCAGTTCGTCAAGTCGGTGTTTGACATAATCATCTGCCCCAGATCTTCCATCTCTTATCGTGTCTGGACTTTGATGGGATCCTTTGTCTTGGTACATGAACAATAAATCTTTCTTGTATCTCCTCAGATAATCTCCTATTTCATGCTCACTTAATGAATCTTTCAAATCACTCCAAATCACTGGAATCACAGCCCACAATGTGGATTTCACCCGAGGATTCACGTCTAATCTTGCCATCGGAAATACTTCAGCTTTTGCTTCTGGTCCACTTGTGGTCAAATGCACATCATGACTGTTGGAGTCAATCAGCATCTTTCCCACTCCCGCGTTGGAGGTTATAGTTAATGGATTAATTAAGCGGCCATCTTTTACAAGTTTCCTAGCCACTTCACGAGATTCAGGTTTCAAATATTTACTGCAGCCAACTGTACTTGAACATTCACCTTGGTTGTTTTTTTCCAGCACTTGCTCGTCATCCGGAGGGAATTCATTAGTTGTCTTTTTTGATCCTGCACCAGAATCAAGACCAATGAACTCAGTACCAAAATCATACCTACGAGTGATCTTTCTCCTCTTCTAAGAAACGATCATGTATGGAATCGAAAACTTGAAAAAATGACTGGGGAAGACTTACCAAAAGGACTCGATTTTAGGCAAGAAGAACTCGATGAATTCGGGAGGACAGTTGCATCTTTGCCCATACCTGGTAGTCCCAATGACAAAGTGAGATCAAGCTTTTGTTGTTTTGAAGCTGGCTGATAAACGGTATGTTCTGTGGTGTCACGGCCGGCACGTCGCAAGGATAATGAAGACTCCCTTTGGCCTTCCACGCCCATATAATCTGTCAGATATACGATCCACCAAGAAACCTATCTCAGAGTTTTTCTCCATCCTCTTCTAGTTTGCAGATGTATAAGGAGGGATCGACTAGACTGACCAAATAACATCAACCTTTTCGAATGCTGATTGCGGGCTGTCAAGGGAACCGAAAGTGGAATGCTGCCTAAATGAAAGGTCAGTGAAGTGTGAAACAACAGTGAGAGGTGTGTGTGTGTAGAGCCGACGTTACCTTGCTGGTTAAGGCCGGAGGAGTGATTTTCTGTGAAGCTCGATCCGGCCCCCGTTGGGTATGAGGCTATATCTGAAAGCATCATGTTCGGATCATGGGTTGCTGAGAGATGGTGAAGGTGCAATAAGGCTACAAGCCCGAATACCATCCAAAAAGCTTTCATCTTCTGTGTGTTTGTTGAATCAAAGGCCGACTCTCGAGAGCCGAAGATGAAGATGCTCATGTGGTTTTGTTCAAGGTACTACTAGGACACAGGAATCTTTATCTCCACAGAAATATAAGGGCTAAAAATGAGGAACTACCGTGGCAAAACAATCTTCCCGTTGATGGGTATGTAAATGTTTCCGCAACTGGTACTCTTGGATTTATCACAAGTCTCAGCGGGGCTTAAATGTACCATTTTTCCAAAAAAAAAAAAAAAGTATAAAAAAAACTCTTCATGATCGAGCGTTTGTTGCAACGGGATAGATTTGGTAGGGGCTTGCTCAGATCGAGTGCAGGTTGAGCAAGGATAAAGCCATGCTGATGCAACACTTTGGGCATACAATCATCGTCGGCAGGCCAGAAGCCGAGGTGGCATCCCTAGTTGAGCTTCTGTAGGGGCGACTGGGAGCGGTACGGTGTGTTCTCATTAGAAGACGGCACCAGATCCATTTTTCGCTCCAGTCTGCCTTTTCCATATTTCCTTGTCACTTGATCCGGTGGTCTAAGAAAGAGTCTTCCACTGGATCCATCATCCAGCCATACTCAAGGCAAACATCGGAACTCCACTGCTGGTCTCCTTCAGCCTCCTTCTAGTTCATTATCATCAACTTCCCTCTGGACCTCAACATAACCTAACGTTTCGTTTCGTTTTGTGTTGCCAACATAGTATATCTAAAATATACACTAATTTGCGGACCTTTCTTAAGGTCACTCACTCTACAGCAACAACAACACGGAAAAAAACAATCTTGAAGTCAATCAAACACAAAATACAACCAAATCAACCATGGCAAAAACAAAGTACAAATTACAAATTACATAGCAGAAAGACACAGTCTGATTGTCCGATAAACAATATTTTCTTTCTGTTCTTGTTGACCTCAAAAAAAAAAAGAAGAAGAAGAAGAGAGCATAGAGGGTTAGGCTCATTTGGTGGATCAACTAGCAACAAATGTATGTAATTGTCCAAAATTTATGTATGTATAATAAGTGCTTAAGTAATAAGTGAAGTACATGATATTGCCAAGAGAGAGAAAGAGAGGACAAGTTACAAATTTTCATCTTTTTCGTCTTGATCTTTATATTCTCTCTTTCTCTCTCTATGGGGTTGTATGTACTGATATATATATATATATAAAGGGGAACAGTTACAATGTGTATGTGCTACGAGTTTTGTTCTTCAGTTTCATCAGGATTTTGAAGGACGTTTTATTTTAGAATAGGATGAAAAAGGGAGCGCAAGGGAAAGAAAGGGGGAGGGGTGAAGGTTGATCACGAGAATGCCAGTGGTGATCTGAACTAATCGACTCATCACCAGGCAAGTGTCCCTGACCAAAGAGCAGAGAGACAGTCGGTTGGGGGTTAGGGGGTTTGTTTTTGTATTTATTTATGATGAGACGCCTTGAGCAACTAGAAACAGGAGTTCGCCATTATAAACCCCATTGATCAAGTCGTGTTTGACGCTAAGATCCGAAGGCCTATTTAAATAAGTTGACCACAGATTTTTTTTTTTTTTTTGAGAAGAGCATTAATTCAGATCAACGCTCTATAAATTCTGTTCCCGGACTGGCAATAACTTTTTTGTGGGAAAACATACCAGGTTAAGCTGATAGCTATGAGCCATCCAATCACGAACTTGATCCACCCAACAGGATCTGTTTATTGATTGATTTTTGAAAATGAAAAAAAAAAACGTAACTCTCATCAGGGAAGGACGACACACGTTTTTTAAGGTTTTGACTTTATGAAAGAAGTATACATAGGAGACATACCAGTCATTTCGGCTGCTCCCATATGCTCTTGAGTTTTCTTCCATAACGCTGATGGACCAACTTTGCCAGACGGATGATCTTTATCTATATCTACCAAAAAAATACGCACAAAAATTATTGTTTTAGAATTTGATTGATTACGAAAAATTGAAAGAGCTCCTCTTACTCGATATATCATGCGGGTCGATCTAGAATAATGAGAGAATGATTTGAATACTTTGATTCGAGCACTTCGGGAAAGAATAATAAACAAAGAGCTTACGTTGATTGAACTACGAGAGGAACCAGAAAGATGATGACCTAAGGGCAATTGGCATCTACCCAAGACATCCGGCATGAACCAGGAGCCCATTCCGATGAAGGGAGAGATGAGGAGATGAAGAGCAAAGGTTGCAGCGACGGCCCAGAGCAAGCCGAAACCTAGACGACGGAACGCCCGCCAGGTATCCAAGGGGTCCAATAAACCGTCTTGGTCTTGGTCGAAATAACTCAAGTAGATCTGCAAGAGATCCGGGTCAAGCTCGTCTGGATGGGCGTTGAGGTGCTGGATTTCGACGATCGATTGAAGACATCGTTGGGCATGTTGGAAGCCGATCGTGTCCCGGCTTCGAGCGCGCGATTCTTCTGCAGAGGCCGCACTGGATCGGTCGGATGATGACTCGTGGACCGGTTCATCACTCGCGCGTTGATTCTCGGTGGGGTAACTGTTACCGTTTACAGGACGACGATGACAAACTTTTTTCACCATTCCGCCTCCCGGGCCCGCATACATCCTTTGTTGGGCATCGAAGTCGAACTGGTCAGCCGCCCCAGACATCTCCCGACGGATGGACTTGGGCTTCGTGTGCAGCTCTGCCGCCTCTTCTGCCGTCTCGGCTCTGCCCTGCTTTCGGTGGTTCTCGTGGGTAGGTCTTGAGGTGTCCGAAGAAGATTGATCGTCGGCCAGGGTAGGATTCGTAAATTTGACGTGTTTGGCAGGCTTTTTAGCCGAGCTTGGAAGGCTCTTTGCCGGGTCGTTCTCTGATGATGATTTGACTGGGCTCGCCGTCTCAGATTCCTTGTGTTGATCAGACTTATTTTTGACTGATTCTTTTGGGATCATCCCATTTTGGGAATTCTTAGCAGGATCAGAGGCCACTACTTTTACCGGAGCCGGATCCTCTAGAGATTGGTGTTGTTTACTAGGGGGTCGTGAATCGTCTGAGTGGTTGTTAGTGCTCGCCTTGTGGGACGCCTGCTGAGTCTTTTTGGTGTCGGTTTTCGAACCCACTGCTGGATCGGGGCGGTTTTCAGCATCACGTCCCCCAGAATCTTGGACACGATGAGCTGCCGAGGCTTGCTTGGAATTTTGTTCTTTGGTGGACTTGTTAGGACGGCCGGTTTCATTGGCGGGGTTCGAATGATGGTGGTCTGTTTCTAGACAAGATAGGTGTAAAAACAGTCAGCAGAGGAAGTATATAGAATGCAAGGGCCATTTTGGTGTGAGTAGAGACACTTACTACCGTTAGAGTTGGATTGGGGTAGGTTAGCAGATCGCTCGGCAAGTGCAGCAGAATCTACGTTGCTAACAGTGCTTTTGACTGAGGATGGTAGGTCGTTGGACTTGGCAGGCAGATGATCGGAAAGGCTCTTTTGACTACCAGCAGTAGTAGCCGCTGATGAAGGTTTAGAGGATCGGTCTGAGTCTGCTGAGTGCTTATGAGGGTGATGATCTGATTGAGAGGAACCATTGGGAGTGGGGTGGATGGGGGTAGCAGGACTGCTATGGTTCTGCTGGTTGGGAGTACTCTGGCTGGAATGGTTAGCCGAGTTAGGTTTGGATGGACTGGCGGTGGGTGTGGCAGCAGTTCCTGGTTGATCTGCTTTTGTGCGACGCTTCTTGGTATTGTTGGCTTTGCGTTTGGGAGCCATGATACAGGATGATAGGGGATGGTAGGGAAGTGGGGGAGTGTCGAAGAGATATGTAGAGGGAAGATAAGGGAAGGAGGGAAGGAAGGGAATTGGGAATTGGGATGAAAGGTAGTCAGTCAGTGGCTGTTGACCATCGATCGCTATGGTTTTCCCTTTTGAAGTATCGTAGAAGAGAACAGTTCTTCCTCATCTGTGAAACAAAAGAAAAGAAAAAACAAAACAAAATACAACAACAATCACACTTCCCACTCATCTGCATCCCCCCGGACTCTGACATGCTCTGACCGGGCACCCCATGACCATAAACCAATCAACGAGGCAGACAATTCGACCACCAGGCTTGAGAGCACATCTCTTTATCGTCATTGTTTCTCAGGCTGTTTATCACATCATCGGGTTTTAGCAAAATAAAAAAACGAGAATGATGGCGATAAGCTGCCTGGTCCAAGCCCTGGTATACCATTTCAGTTGGGCTTAACCTGTAGTGGAGACACCAGTATGTAGCTATGATAAAGCTATATGAGAAGCATAAATACCTAACCTGATATTTCAGCGATGAGAAAATCTCTGAAGAGAATTTCCACCAAAGGTGCTATACAGACTTGTTGTGCCACACCGGGCAGTCTGTAAATCAACATGACATGCGAGTATTGGTGCGGTGTTGGCAAGATGTTAGAGCATCTCCACCGCGGTCCCTAAATCGGGTCCCTATCCCGCATTTAGGGACCGCGGCCCAAAAAACACCGCCCACCGGGGTCCGAGGATTGTGCACTCACAGCACACCTCAATGTAAATGTCACACACCACACACCACAACCTCAAGTAACATCTTGCCAACACCGCACCAATACTCGCATGTCATGTTGATTTACAGACTGCCCGGTGTGGCACAACAAGTCTGCGAGTCCCTATCTGCATTCCCGAGTCCGTATTTTCGATCGATAGGGACCCGAAAATACGGACCGCGGTGGAGATGCTCTGATCCAGGGTCTGGAGAGGGACCGAGGATGAAATCCGTAAAATACGGACGACGATGGGGACCGCGGTGGGCGGTGTTTTTTGGGCCGCGGTCCCTAAATGCGGGATAGGGACCCGATTTAGGGACCGCGGTGGAGATTAGAGATCGTTCGCTCGGACCTGTTGGGGGGTACCTGCCACACTTCAAAACACTCCCTCCACACCCTCAGACACCACTGATTCTTCCAGAGAGTTCAGTAATAATGAAAATTTAGTACTGGCCCAACCCACTGGCATTTATGGTGGCTGTTGATGTGGAGGGCTTGATCTGAAGTGTGGCAGGTACCCCCCAACAGGTCCGAACGAACGATCTCTAGTGGAGATGCTCTTACATATATGGCCCACAGACAAAAGACCCAATTCCGCCACATTCCCTAACTGGGTCTTCAAGATAGCACCCAAGGTCATGTAAAGACTCAACAGATACTTGTACATAGCTCTATTGGGGATCATATCCACTCTTGGAGGGGTTTGCAAATTTTCTTCCCCAGCAGCCCCCTGCTAATTTCCTGGCCAGCAGCCCCCTGCTAATTTTTTTTTAAAAAAAGGAACCATGACCCCTTGATCAGTTTTGTAATTGAGGGATTAAACCCTCTTCATGGGAAATGGGTCAGCTGGTCATCAAGCAGAAAATTTACTCATTTCCTCAATGTCCAGTTCAGCCAGTTTTATGACAAGTTGATGTGGTTCTCAAGGGTTGTTGAGAGTGAATTAACAACTCTCCATACTCCCCTTTATGACAAATCAAGCTGGCCATCAAGGGGAGTGAAAAATCCTGCAACAATTCACATTCAATATTTTAACCCTTTTTTGGAAAGAAATCCATGTTCCTGTATAAAATTCCAAAAAAAAAAAAAAGAAAATCAAACCAAAGACTTCATTGGTCAATCTGTGCAGCTTGGGAAAATAGAGAAAATTTGATGCTAGATGCTATAAAAATAGTATTGAGTTGAGCCAAAAGCTCAATTGTGAAGCATTGTATTTATTCTTTCTGGCACTGTTGTTGGTACCAAATACATATGATTAATATTATCATGTCACTGTTCATTCACTCTGTTCCTACACCTAACTGAGGCTTCAAATATTCTATTGAAATACTTTTTGTATACTCTTTGCTGATTCATTTCTAATGTCACTGTTCATCAACTTTGTTCTTCACTCATATGATCGTAAATCTTGGCTATAATATAGTAACTTTTTGAACATTCCTGTTCTGCAGCGCAGCCGCGATTTCCCTATTTTAAACATGGCAACTGGCCAGCCAAGAAACAGAAAAAAAGTGCTTAGTTCCTTGCGATCAACTTACAAATGTTCCAAACCAAGTTCAAAAAGAAAGGTAGATAGATAGATGATAGAAGAAGGAACAGGCAAAAATACAAGACCTCAAAGTCACAACACAAAAAAATGCTTCGCGCCAAATCCTTCCTAACGAGTTGCAATATGATATTTCCGGGAGTATAATTTTGTCAGAGGTCGGAGTATGTTGCCCGCAATACAAAAAAGGTCTATAAATAAGAATAAGGTTGCAAAGTTTGCAGAAGTTCCGGTATATTATATCACACTTCTCACTTGCAAATCGAATTCTTCACTCTTTGTTGGTTGACAAACAAACCCAACTTTACAGGCTCCCTGCTCAACAACAATGTGATGCTCTGATGCTTTGCCGGTCACGGTGTTGCCGGTTGTATACATTGTGTTCTGGATCAGCACGGCTAAAATTCTGCAAACGAGGGCGTAATTAGAATGCCTCTCAAGGTATATGCTGTTTTTTTTTTACTGATCGCCTCTGGACTTACATATTTCCAACAATGGCGGTGTGCGCATGCGTTCCCTAAAGAAGGCAAATGGTGGTCAAAATCTTCAGAGAAACCGCATCAAGGTTATATGTAGTGTTGAACCTACGATTTGTTCCACAACCATCCAAGTCGCATTATCAAGAAATTCGGCCCCTTTGTAGGAATACTATGAGACATATCGAAATCACGAATTGGTCAGCTTCTGTCAGCTGAAGGATGGCTGCAACAAGCATTAAACAGACTTACCATGTACGCTAGGAGTGGACAATACAAAACGGTATCCAAGTAGACCAAGCCAGAATATATGACAAGCCGTTTTCTAACGCTTTCCAGGGCTGCTCTTTCCTGAGCAGGTCCATCGTTCATGCGGTTCATCATTGAGGTCTGATATCCCAGCGCGGGATCTTCTTGGGCTCCTTTCTTTGGAGCCCTCGCGGGAGAAATATGGTTGCGGATACCACGCAAGGCCAGCACCGAAGTTGGCAAGTGAAGCTAGAACAAGTTTAGGTTTTGATGTCTCAGTTCTTTTTACTCTGCGGTCAACCGAGGAAAACAGAAGGCAACGTGCGGCTGACTTACGGTTGTTACTACCAGATGGAACACCAAAAACATCAGCACAATGACTCTCGTGTCGTAAAGGAGATGTTGCTGTGATGGTAAAATCAAATAAACCATTACAATAAACATAGTTCAGTACCTCGCGCGAATGCTAGGATGGCTTTAGCTGTTGTAAAACCAATGTCGTGGAAATCCAGCTTACCATGTGAATAGCAAACCCTTCTGCCGGCTTCAGAATTTCAAGAAGTTTCATCAATTGATAAGTGTGGGGTTGATAGGTTGGTGCTGCTTTGAGAAGGCCAGAGATGATCTTCTTAGTAGCTATTTCGATTGCCCTCAAGTTTAAGGCGGCTCTGACAGACAGCCATAGTATAACAGCTACCAGGCGATGAATTCCACAAAAAGCAAATGAGCCACTGGTTCAATTCATGGTTCAATCATGTTTCGACGTACCACTTGGAATAGTCAAGATGGCCAGGAGCGAGCCGTTTGCAGCGCATCTGACAAACAGTGATTGTCTGATAGACGATCCTGCGCGAGCTCGTGCTCTCAACGATGTGAAAGCCATTGCCGCTTCGATACCAGATATCCACAAAAACACTTCAATGCAGGCGTTGTGAGAGGAATTCAGGTACCATTAGAAGAGTGTTTCGAAGGCGTCGTGAAGATGTTTGGCAAGAACTATTCCATGGAACTTCAACTCACTCCTGACCAAGGTAAAATACCAGTGGCAGTATCCAATTAACAAACAGCTGTGGTGCAGATGCGGTGCGCGCAATCACAGAAACACAATGATAACCGTTTACTCACCAAAAAACATTCCCGGTTACCAGGAACTTGCTTGTGCGCACAACAAATTTATTGGAAAAATCCAAAAGACGTAGTTCAACTAATTCTTCAGTCCCTAGATCAAAGGCGCAGACTAAATCGAATTCATGCACGTCCAAATGAAAATCAATTCATCACCCAGAGTCAAATTAGAGGGGATGTGACCATCCCGGAATCGGTGCGACTTGAGATTTAATTTTGACTTACGCGCGGAGAATATGAACATAGATAGGACAATTTCATTGAGAACCTCGATATGAATCAACCCAACTGTTTTTGAGAAAAGTCAAAAAGATCAACAATACATGTGATTACCATGTATCGCAAACTCCAATTCAGATTTTGTGATTTCAAAATACTCACGTTTGTTAAATCTGAAAAATTTCAGTTGGTTTGCTTTCTTTCTCAGCCACAAAACTGTAAAGCATTGAGCACATAATCTTTACGAAGAAAAAAATGAATTGAAGAAACCCGGCATAAAATGGTACTGTAAGCGCCGCTTTTGCTATCCTCGGACTAAATATACTGACTGACATGATAAATTGGATTGTGATGATTCGTCGGATGATGCGTGCCCATAGAGGAGGCGCGTGAATCTGGTGAGACTTGCAAAAGTTAGCTCACGACGAATACGTCAAGATTAAGAGTCACTACGAGACCCACTTCAGTTAGTTGCCTCATTTTTTCGGCTGTGGCCTCGTAAGGATTGAGCGAAGGCGGCAGGTGTAGCACGAAGCTCAAAAATTCTTGTGCTGAGTCTGCCGGCATTGCTAAAGGGAAAAAAAACGAATGTGTGGGTGCTGATTGAAACGGGGGTGGAGGTATAAGCCGAGTTGACTCAAAAAGTAGCCCCTCCCCCATCATATATAATCCAATCTTACCGCTTTCAGAGTGGAGCTGAGCCTCAAAACAACCTGGTCAGTATCTACATCTGTGCTTGATTGGAGATGGAATTGGCCGGCCAATTTTGGGGCACGGCGTGTGAGGATTGGGCCTCCCAATGCACCCAATTGCTACAGCAGTGCTCTACTTCATTTGATCAGATTCCTGATCAAAATGACTGTCTGTGTGGCCTGAGAGATCCGATTCAGCTCAGCCGGAGATGCGTTGCGCGCTTGGCTGGAAATTCCGTGAATATATCGCTCTCAGATTAGCTTGTTCGATGGGAAGTGTGGTGAAGACTGGACCCATCGGCCAGCTGATACTCACACCAAATTGCACCTGATGAGGTTGTAATCCCTCTAGCCTAGCTCGAGCGGGTGCGTGAGCTAGTCGCTACAGGCCGACTACCCCCGATCCAATTTGAAGACCTCTCTGACTTCTCGACCTCCCAGACCCACCCCTTGTTTCCGTGCTAAGTTCCTCACAAGCTTGTAACGTCAAACTCGGACCCAGAAGCTCTGTGAACAAACTCAAACAATGTTAAAACATCTGGATCTTCTAATTTTCATAAAAATCTTTTAAAAATCAGAGTATACGATTGTTAAGGATCAATATTCTACAATGGATCAAAGAATATGTTAATGAATAGTTACTTAGTAGAAAATTTACACTCCTTTGGTTAATAAAAAGCAACATTCTTTAAGATTCCACTTTTAGAAAATTTGAATCATTTACTATAAATACCAATTGTATTTTCCCTTTTATATGTCTCCTTAAGAGACTTATTTTGTTATTTTATTCCTCATAGCAAAAAACTTCTGTTGAGTTTTCAAGTTGTCCTCAACCATGAGTTGCTGAGTCCTACACTTGCCGCAGCATGATGAGATAGACACACGCAACCGACCAGCTTCCTCTTCATAAAAAGATGGCCAATACCGGTTGTTTTTCTCTAGACTTGACAAGTTTCTCACATTCACTATTTAATCAAGACTCAAGACTTGCAATCTCACATCAAGATCATTCATCAAGACCTGACTCAGTAAAGCCCGACTGACTCTGTTCCTCATACTCATTCTCTCTGATCTCATTGATTCTCCAATTCCTTCCGCTATCAAGATTGATTCACAAACATCAATACAATCTCATCAGGCGGCTTTATCATTCAGCAACTAGATCACTTCAGTGCTGTTTTTTGTTTTTCCTTATTTCTTTCTTACTATTCATTGTTTCTTTCCTTGTCTTTGTTTGATGAGAAAATCACTGATCATTTCTTTTGACTTGTCTAATTCTTTCTATTTGTCATTTCTCTTAGTCTTGCTTCTCAAATAACTACTGTTCCTTATATCTCTATCAGGTCCTCAATTTATCTAAGAACAATCACTGGTGTTATGCTCTTTCTTCTTCATTTCTTCCATTCTTTCTTTATCTTGTAATTTTCTTATTTATATCTAAATCTTGTTTTATTTCTTCAGTCTGGTTTTGGTTTCTAACAATTTCATTCAGAATTTCAATAACTTCAGGCTTTGTTTGGCAGTCCAGTATATCATAAGAAGAAATATGTAAATCGGCATAATCAGAATAAGGTTGATAAACCTTAAACCATCTATCATAAAACTAGATAATCCTCTGCGTATTGTAGTAGATTTTTGGTGTTATAGTGTGACCAGCCAAACACAATCTTTGTTGAAATTTGGAACTAAAAGCACGTAAGAGGTGGAGGGCCAAAAAAGAAGAGTCTCATTTTTGGGAAGGGCTCACCAAAAAAGAGTGTAAGAGCCAATGATTTTTATTCACAAGTATCTAGTCAGGTTTAAATAGACTAAGTACAAGTGGTGAACAAGTGGTTATGAGAAATGAATAGAAAAAGCATATTGAATAAAACACTGAGAGGAAGAAACATGAGTCTTGGAAGAAACAAACTGGACAGGGCTTCTCAGTCTCTTTTAGTCAAGCCAGATGAGTTAATCAAGAAAAACATGCTATAATCCACAAATATTTAGAGTTTTTAATTCTAATTAATCGGGCTTTAGTAAATCAATCAATAAATCAGAAAAAAGAAGAATCAATCATTGAGACATGAGTGGTTAAGAATAGCTGATTACTTCAGGTTCAAATTTAACTCAGAAGGGGTTTAAAAAAACCAGAATACAAGCTACTTGATTAATATAAACTGGTCTGATTATTGATGACTAGAAAGGGATGAAGGGCAGAGAGAGATATTGGAGTCAAGATTGAAGCATGCTCACTGGCTGAACATCTGCGGCAGAGCAAGGGATTCATTGAGCTGCGCAAATAATGACAAACAAGATTGAAACCTAATTGTAGTCAGAACTTAGTTACTTTCTCTTTTTCACTCGCGTGTAACTTTCTTTCTTTCTCATTCAAGTTTCTTTCATCATTACTTGCGTCTAACTCGTGTCCATTTCATACACTCGTCGCGGCCGTTCTAGGTGTGAACAATTTCCTCATTTCATTTCAATATCTCTTTCTGATCTCTTCATCTCACTCTTCATTGTTCTTTCAGGTTTGCTCCCTTTGATTCAAGCTCCTCAGCGGTCATCTAATCTGACCTTAAGTCGGTTCTCAAAGGTGTGCATCAAGTCATACATTCAAGTTTCTTTCATCATTACTTGCGTCTAACTCGTGTCCATTTCATACACTCGTTGCGGCCGTTCTAGGTTTGCTCCCTTTGATTCAAGCTCCTCAGCGGTCATCTAATCTGACCTTAAGTCGGTTCTCAAAGAACTCGCACACTCTCTCCCGTCCTTTGTCCATTAAGAGACAGAACTGAGAAAAATTCAACAATCTTCACTTATGATAATAAATGTGGTCCCCCAAAAAGATTTTCAGGATTTTCCTATGATATTTTATGATATCATGGACTGCCAAACAGAGCCTCAAGTATTTACAGTCTCAAAAAATCTGCTGAAAAGTTTCAGTGCCGTAAAAGGAAAAGTACAAAACAGTGTTAAAGTCAGAAAGTAAGAGTTTTGGCAAAAGTTGCCATATTTCTTACGCGTAACTTCTCGCAAAGTTCATCTCCAAGCCAGCGGAAATGAGGAAAGAAGGACATCTGGCAAAATTTTGACAAACCCCAGCTTGGGCTGGGGGTGCCGTATGAGTATCACACTCTCCAGTGGGCAGGTTGTGTTACAAGTCAGGTTAGCCAAGTACATGATTGTAAAGAATTTTCAGGGTTCCAGGTGCTTTTCTAAGCAAAAATGTGGCAGGATGGAGGGAGGATACTTGAAATCCTAATGATGGTGTAACAAATTTATAAAATTTTAAAATTTAAGGTATTTAGATAATGAAAACAAAATAAATCCCATAAGGGAAGGAGAGAGGCTTTGAAGGATAGATTATTTAAAGTGAAAGAGTTCCTTAGACACACGTCTTGATACCAAAGTTCCACATCACATCTAACAACATAATATGTAAAATCTATGTATTTATGAATAGAAATCAGAAAACATGATCTGTGGATAGAATATTTTTTTTGAAGATAGGATTTAGAAAACAAAAATCCACGGAAAATTTTATTGAAAATCAAGAAAGGAAAATTTTGAATGTTTTCCTGAGTTTGCCTGTTGTTGAAAATGATTTACAAACTTACTTACATAAATCTAGTATAAGCATGCATAATCAAACTATGTTGTTAGTGGGCGATCAAACCCTAACCACCGTTGTACCCTGTTTATAATCTGCACTCCTTACGTCCTGGGTCTCCTCTCTCTTTCCTCACCAATTTCAAAGCCCAATGACCAAGTGTGCTGTAGCTGAAACCTGACAGAACTGTATTATCCAGTGTCCATTTGCATACTGTGTCTTACAGGTTGCTTGAAGTTGAAGGCCACACAAAGTGTTATATATATGTACAGTCTCCTCCCAGATATTTATGGCCATCTGTTTCGAGCTCCACACAGGCCGGAAAACTGAAACTTCAAGTCACACTTAAGAGTTGGTGGAATGGTGGGAAATGGGTTTCAAAAGAATGAATATTGAAAAATAATAATAAGAAACAAGATTTAAAAATTTGTTAAAAAAAGATAAAAGAAAATCATTTTTTTAAAAAAAACTTGAATTTCTTTTGTTTGAGTGCGTGAGTGAACAGTGAACACACAGAAGGCAAGTTTGGACCATGGAAAGAAAGATGATAAATGAAAAATAATTAATCCCAAAAAACGTTTAGCATGGTGGGTGGACATCCAGCAGTCAAAACTAGTACATAGATTGCAATGCCAGAAGGCCACATTTCCTTGATGAATGACCCACTAGACACCCTTTTTAAACCACCAAGTGAAGTAGTCTTTCTTTTTTCTTCAAAATTTTCACTTCTTATTATTCATTCCAGATCTCATACTTTTACTTCTGCAATTTCATCTTGTCCTGAAAGAAATATTAGAGCTGTCAGTTCTTGTGATTTTCTCATTTTTTTTATTACTTACAAATTTTCATAATCTTGTTGATTGTTATTATATTTTTTTTTTTCATATTCATTCTTTGAGACCCATTTTCTACCATTCCACAAACTCTTGTGACTTGAATTTTTTGGGTTTCTTGTGTGGAGCTTGAAACAGATGGCCATTATAAACATCTGGGAGGACACTTTATGTAGGGGTCTTGCTGCTCTGTTGATTGGCTTACAAACAGGTGACATCAGCGCGGTGAGCTTGAGGTCATTGAGGAGTTAGCCAAACTGCCTATATACATTAACTTTCCTCTCATTCCTATCGTCAATAACCAGTCCAAGCTGGATAAATGAGAATGATTTGAAGCCCTAAGAGAGGCACGATCTCCTCAGTGTATCACTCTTTTTTAGAGTAAGAAGTCATTGTCAACGGGAGCAGAGAACAAAACAATAATATGTAATTAGAACGGATTGTTATGGAATAATCGGACAGCATCGTCAAAGTTATGAATAGATAAAATGAGCTGAGTGTTCCAAGTAACCAACCAAGCCTTATAATCATCTTGAGTTGGAAAGGCATCGGTATTCTGTATTGAAGGAACAAAATAAAGGAGGATGAGGAGTAATAAAGAATCTAAACGAGATTTGAGATTTTGGATCACCCCCGTGAACTCATAGCTGATCATGTCGTCGAATGACCTATCAGCTTTGTTTAAGAGGTCTAGGAGTAGTTTGATATCTTGCGAGATTCTTTTGAGTTGCCTAGCTAAAGATTCGAGTTGACTGGAACACATCTCCGTGAACAATGGGAAGCCTTCTTTCGGATTCATCGGACGTTTTGATAACTTGTTGAATAAAAGCCTTATTAACTTTATGATTGGTATTATCAGTTTGGCGACTTGGATGACGGTCCCATGGACAAGTACACCCAGATCTTGTTGTCGTTCTACCGTCAATTCGATTGCTGTTGGCGGTAGTGGGGTGGTCAGTTCGAGGAGTTCCCGGATATAGAAATTGAACCAAGGTAGTTCTCTTTTCCAGTATTCTTGGGCGATCTCAAGCTCAGGGCCATTTATTGTTCGGATAGTCCAGTCGATCGCAGTTGAGGCACAGGAGATGAAGAAGGTCAATTCTCCTCTGTACGAAGGCCTGTCAGACTCCGGCTTCAATTCGTTCGGTGGGATTGTAACAAGTTGATGAAAAAGCCCTTGAGCCTGAGTGAAAACTGGGTGCATGATGAACATGACCGATTGATTAAACAATTCTTGTACTCGGAAGAGCCTGAATGATTTTTGGGCTTTGAGATGCTGATCGTCGGTTCGATGGGTGACGGAAACCTCCGAAATCGGACCCGAACACACGGGACAAACGGCAGTGATCATCGATCTGATCTGGTATATGGTGCGCTCGATTTCCGACTGGGTACGTAGGATTAGCCTAAGTAGTTTCTTGTCTGGTTCTTTCGATGATATTGTAGATGGGATGAGTGACAGAGAGATGGTGTTGAGTTGCTCTTTCAGGAGGGGAAGAAGCTCAGAATGTAACCGATTCAAGAGGGGTTCATTGGAGTTGACCTGATCGATAGAGAGGGCGGAGAGTGCCTCGTCAAGAGGTTGATCGGTGGGCTGACTGTGATCTATGGCTATCAGACGGGCAAAGCCATCAACTACGGCAGCTGCGTTTGCAAGTCATGAGTCAGTTGAATTTGCTCGAAAGTTGAGAAGAATGGATGGATTTCTTTGAGTACACACATTGAAGATCCAGGGTATCCAGCTGATCCCAAGGCTCGCCGGTTGCAGAATCGCCCATATTGTCCTGTTAAGGTCGTGTGGAGTGTTCAGCCGACTTTGCCATAAAGAAATTTAACTTCCGACACAACCGATTCTATTCTTATCATCCTTTATCAGCAGCACCCATTCTAATTTCTACCCTATAGCCTAAGCGAGAGTCCGTGTACATTCCCTCACAATCCATCGAAACCAGCGGCGATCGACTCACATAGATTAGAATGAGAGAAGACAAATATCCAGTTTAGCTCAATTCCTTTATAAGTCACCGCAAGACTATAAAAGCAATTTGGGGCTATAGGAACGCTCGTTAGAACGTTCATCCTTCGATCCAGCTCTGCTCGATACCTATAATGATTAAGCAGTACACGCTTGTGAGAGGATTTGTGAAACAGGGAAATGCTTGGGTCCGGCCACTTGATCGTCCTGCCTGCAACGATGACTAATGATCTGAATAGATTATTCTTGAAGACCAAAAGCTCCCATTTCCACAAGCTGGTGATGAAGTGAATCGAATGTCTCAAGCATCATTCTTTTTTAAGTCTGGAATTCCGATTTTTCATGCGAGCACAACATATTGCAGTAGCGCAAGAAGCATGAGATTCAAACAAATGGTACAAGATAAACTGTATGAAGAAAATGAAAATCCATCAAGTTAATCAGAGGGATCCTGGATTAACTATGAGTTCGAACAAAGCAAGGAGAGCATCTTCTAATGTGTGATTGATCGGAGCTCGTCGAGACGTGGAGTGGATGCGGTCGTTTGGTGAAAGAACAAGAATCCGAGCTCGTTGCGCTTCACCAAATAAAGTGCAGTCTGAATTATTGGTTCATTGGCCTACTTCGCTACTTGACCTTTTTTGCAGAGGTGAGCTAGCACGTCTGAGTTGATGGGCATCTATATATCAAAGGGCATGGGTCAACCGACGTCCTTGGAGAGAACATATCAATGAGCTGGAATGATTTGGAACTCACTCCACTCTTGACATCGTATTCGACTTGATCTGGGGGACAACAATAAGCAGTGTAACTGGGACCACATCCAAAAAAGAATCCAGGATGGCCGGGAAAAGCTCCGGTATGTGTCCCTTTTTAATCGGATATCCAGAAAAAAGTTTGAGCAGGTGTTAAGTTCGATTAAATTGCTCAGACGTGCAGGCAAATTCTTACGATCAACACTCACCAACGAGGCTCCGATCACTAACGCACAGCGCGTCTTTCAGGCCCTCTTCAGCACAAGGAAACATCGGAGTCCTGGCAAGTGCGGGTCCGAAGAGCGCAAGCGAAAGGCCTAGTAAAGCATGAATAGCAACTTGCATGATGCGGTGCTTGAAGAAGAATAGCAGAGTCTGACTGAATATTATATGGGGATGATGAGAGCTGGAGTGATGCTAGATATGATGAGTCTTGCAAAGACGATGATCACAAAGTAGTCAAGAATTCCTACTGGAAAGGGCGGGGGATAAGGGCAGACAGCGACATGGGGGGGCTCTATATAGAGCTGGCAAGGCCAAAACAGAAAACGATGGTCGGAGGAGAGACTGGCGATGCTTCTCATCACGATTCTGATCGGGTTCTTCCTATCAGAATCAACTACAAATACTGCGTCGCCACATATTCAGGAAAGGAGTGGCTTTTGGACCTCGCGCCTTCGCTTTAACTTTACATGTGCTGTTGCGCCACAGTGGATGACTTCCCGTCCGATCTGCGGGCCTCGCAGATAGGTTGTCGGCGCAACCCCCTGGTGCGCGCCAAAAGTGCGCGCACTTTTTTCCAAAAAGGTGGGGTGGCGCGCACCTCTAACCCTAACCTTTGTAGGGAGGGTCCGAGGGCTTGGAGGGTCCGGTGGTATCCCCTGCACAATGATGGGCCTTGAGAGAGCCAGGCATTGGTCTGGCGGACTGACAGGCTGTCAGATACATCATTTCCAATTTTGAAATATGTATGTAGCATCCAAATTCTAGATTCTGGATGGTCAAAATTGCAGACACCCAAAACAAACTGGTTGTTGTTACCAACTGGGACCCCACTGAACTTTGATTTTCTCAATAATATTTATCATTCTTCCTTTTTTCTAGCCTGCACAAATAAATCAGTGTTTTTTTTGCTTGTTTTCTTACTATTTTCAGTTATAATGTTACCAATTAGAAAAAAATGGCGCCTGGGCGCGCCGCCCCTGCGCCAGCGAAAGGTGCACCCCTTTGGAAGGCTTGGTAGGCGCCCATGGGCGCGCACTTTTTCAAACATGGCGCCGACAACCCTACTTGCAGAACATGATTTACAATGCCAGACAATGCCAAAGTCTAAAAAAACTAAATTCGTGCTTCCGTCATCCTTGTAGAGCTACAGATCCTAAGATGAGAATGAGATGAAAAACTCCCCCAAGGGGAAAGATATATTTTGATAATAGAGGAAGGTCTATATACTATACTGTAAGTACATAATTGGGTTGATGAGTAATAAGTATATAGTAGATTATAAAATAAGAGAAGTGTGAGAAAAATGACTGTAAAACCATGAGAAAATATAAACATATAGATAAGTGCATATTTTGTCATAACACTCCCCCCCCTCATCAACCAAAAAAGGGAAAAAGAAAAGAAAAACCATGAAGGGAAAAAAACATGAAAAAGAAACAGGCAATGTTGAAATTTGGGATAAAAGCATGAATAAAAATAAAAGAAAATAAACCAAATTCAACAGAAATAGAGGAGAAATTACATAAAGAAAGACAGAAATAGATAAAACAAAAACAAAAATAAAACAAAGTGACACAAGACTGAACAACAATGAATCCTAACAACACAGTCGGGATAGATCCTGTTGAGGGCTATAAAATATAACCAGTTATCAGTTAGCTTCTGAAGAACCAACCAACCACCAGTGTTGGATGAGGATTGCAGAGGGAGACAAACAGTTACAGGGGATGTATGTTCCTCAAAGCTAGCACATACTATTTCCCCTTTACTTGCCATGGTAAGGGATTGCAAGCGCAATCCTACTGACGCCAAAAATCTTTGGGGGGTTTGTCTCCTGGGATATGGGGGTTGCAAGTGACGTGTCGGACTCAATGGTGGTGTTGGTAGCAGAGCGGTTGCATTGGCAGGACTTGGAAGCCTTGATCTGTGTGGTGAGTGATCAGAAGAAAGTGACAAGCTTGACAAGCGGGATGGATGGGAGTGTCCAGATGAGCAAATTGCTGCAACACCAGATCAAGAAGGTGGTGCCTGAACGGATGAAATGGATGAAGTCGGCAATCAAGCAGAAATACTTTGACAGCTTTTCCGCACTCACAATGGCCAATTCCAACCAATTCCATACCATCTGTCTTGACACCCAGCCACCAATCTTCTATCTCAACAATGTCTCCCACTCCATCATTGCAGTCATCAAGAAGCTCAATCGGGCCTCCAAGGCCAAAGGCAACGGATGCCTTGCCGCTTACACCTTTGACGCCAGCCCCACTGCGGTGATCTATGCCCCCCAGAGGAACATGCACAAACTCCTCAACCTCATCCTCCATTACTTCCCTCTGCCCGGTTTAAGGGGCAGGTATCCAAAGATACCCACTAAGGTGGGGGGATACCTGCCAGCAGATGTGGATTCCTGTTTCCCTGGAGAATGCAGCTGGATATCTGCATCCGCATGGATATCTAGATGCAAAGGGGCCATCTCTACACTAGTGAGAGGTTTTGTCAGCCTTAGAAATCCTCAAGAGTATCCAAAAGACTGCCTAATAATATATTACTTGTAATAATAATAAGAAAACCTAGAATATTATTTTATAAATGAACTTTTCATAATGTTTTAGAGGGGGTTGCTCACTGGAACCACCCCCAAATTCCTACTCCTTCTAGGACTTTTTCATAACTCAAGAGCCTCAGAGGTTAGTAAGGACCCCGGTGAGCCCTTGGTAGACACCTTGATGTAAATTTGGGCAAAATAGAGTTTCTGCTACATGGTTATTTCAGGTTTTTTCCCATATATGCCTGTTCGGATACCTTTTACATAAGTATGTATGGATGAAAAAAAGAGAAGCTCAAGTTTTGGATACATAGGACATAAGGAACATTGGATGGTCTTTATTTCTTGAATTTGACCCCCCATGCTCCAGCCAAATAGCTCACAAACTTCAGGGGGTTGAAGCTGATTGGATTGCATGGCAGAGCTGACTGAGAGGTTTAAAAATTCCATCAGAATGTGTCAAAATATGTAAAAAGAGATACAAACATCCTGTTTTATTTCTATTTCTTAGATTTAGGTACACATGGAGCAACATTGGCCTCAACCTTTTTGATGTAGGCTGAACTACTCATAGCCTGAAGCAATACACGCAAGGGAGATGGTACCCAAACACATGCTTTGCTAGGGTCCATCTGAGTTATGGTCATGCCTTCGGTCTCACAAAAAAGGAAGTGGAGATCATGCGTGTTGATGAGTGCAAAAGTGTAGCAATCTGGAGTTGAAGGTTTGTAGCCAAGTGCGATAGGTGATGTGGAGCTGTAATTGAAGAGTTGGACATGAATATATGATAACTTTGCACGGGTATCGGATGCCTTGGTGTACTCGTGTCGACCGTTTTTGAAGCTGAAAAGGCAAAGAATTTTGCCAATGTACATCGACTAGATATAAAGCATCTTGTTGTTAGAATTACTTGATTTCAACACAAAGTAGAAAAATAACTTGCCCCCTTTGTTATTACAGCCGCAAATTTGCCAGGTTCCAATGGGTTTTCCTTGTCAACCTGACCAGTGGCAAAAAGGTTATGGGCGGAAAAATCAAGATTGACTGATGTATGTTTTGAAAGTGTTTTAAGATTAAGTTGGATGGGTATGTTCCATCGGTGCATACGAGCCATAGTATTCTGCTGAGCATCCGCATCTTTCAAGCAGATTGAAACGATCTTGCTGCAGATCTTTGGATCAAGCTTAGCAGGGGCGGGGGGTTCTTCTGAGCTAGGTTGAGTGTTACTCCGACGCTTTCTACGTTCATTTCCATGGTGCACTTGTATTTGGCTATCGTGATTGTGACGGAGGCAGACTAAATTTTCTTGATTCAACTTATTATCTTTGACTAAATCAAGTGAAGATTGATCTTCAAATTCTAGATTGTCAGGTTTCTCTGAGCTGGTCAGAGTATTGGTAGAAGCTGAATCAAATAGTCCATACTAGAGATGGGCGCGCCGCATCCGGATATCCGTTCGGATTCGGATATCCTCTCACCATTTCAGCGGAATTGGACATCCGCATCCGCATCCGCATACGCTGGCGGATACCCGCCAGCGTTGGCGGGTATCCGCGTGGATACCCGCGGATACCCGCCCTCTGAATTGGCGGACGAGGGCTTCCATGAAGTTTTTGTTTTGTTAGGGGATGTAAAAATAAAATAAGTAATGGAAAAACATATTCGTAAAAAAAAGAAGAAAAAAAAAACCCAGCCCCCTCGGCCTAAAGGGGCAGAGGCCACACCGTCGGGAGGAACCCCTCCCGGCAAGCGTCTACATGCCAGCTCGCTGGGAGTGGTTCCTCCCGGCGAGCTGGTTTTTAAACCAGCTCGTCGGGAGGAACCCCTCCCGACGAGCTGGTTTAAATCGCTGGGAGGGGTTCCTCCCGGCGAGCTGGATTGTGTAGACGCTTGTCGGGAGGAACCCCTCCCGCCGAGCTGGTTTAAAAACCAGCTCGCTGGGAGGGGTTCCTCCCGACGAGTTGGCCTGTGGACGCTCGCCGGGAGTGAAGAAACTCAGGATTTTCGCCGAGAGAAGGGGGAAGAGACCGGGAGATGAAATCCTCGAGGAAAAAGCTCTGAGGAAAAAAATGGTCTTAAGAGCCCAAAAAAGGGCTAGAGTCTGCTAGCTTGCGTGACGGAAAAGCGTACACGCTACAAGAGGTTGTATTTGTTATTGACCTCAGGGAAATGGCGCAGAAGACAGATGGTTTTTCATTTCTTAACTCTGGAGCATGAATATTTTATCTACATACAGTATGGGCTGAGTTGTGGGACAGAAGGTGAAATTAGATATTCATCTGGAACTGGAGAGAAGGATGGTGACAGATGGAGAAGAGAGTGACATGACTGTGACAGGAAGAGAAGAGAATGGCACGGGGCTTCAGAATTCCAACAGGGAGGGGTTCCTCCCGGCAAGCTGGTTTAAAAACCAGCTCGCTGGGAGGAGCCGCTCCCAGCGAGCTGGACTGTAGACGCTCGCCGGGAGGGATTCCCCCCGACGAGCTGTTTTAAACCAGCTCGTCGGGAGGAGCCCCTCCCAACGAGCTGGTACACAGACCAGCTCGTCGGGAGGAACCCCTCCCGACAAGCTGGTTTAAAAACCAGCTTGCCGGGAGGGATTCCTCCCCGGCGGTGTGGTCTCTTGGCACCGGGTATCCCAAGGGATACCCGGATACCCGCCAGTATTTCAGGGGGAAGGGTGCATCCGCACCCGAATCCGCACCCGCTGGCGGGTATCCGCCAGCGGATAGCGGATATCCGCGGCGGATTATCCGCGACCATCTCTAGTCCATACGGGAATCAGATATCTGAGGCAATCAATCAAATCAGATCTAAATCATGATAGCTGGAGCTTACACAGTGGATTGAGGAGATTCTGAATTGAAATCCGACTTGTTTGAACAAGCTCAGTCTCAAGCATTTCATGAGTTGCTTCACATTCAAGAAGGTTGTTCTCAAGCTCCTGCCGTTCACTTGCGACCACTGCTGCATCCTGCATTGCATTGTTTATGTTTTCCAATGGATCATCAATGCTTGTGGCATTGGGCTTATAATAATACGCTTTTGTTGTACTGGAAGAAACATCTGAGGAGTGCAATTATCAGTATATTATTAAAGTGTTCATTGAAAATCAAAGAGCATTGGTTTTCACACACCATCTGGTGTGGATGTGATGTCTGAGTCTGATAGATCACTAATTTCACCAATGGTGACCCCGGGTATTTTTTGCATTCCAGCAAAACAGATCAGGACATTCGCTTTGGCGACGGGAGCGCACCTCGGCCAAAGCTTTGGCCGGTTTGTTTGGGGGCATGCGGAATGCTCACGGATGATGCGGAAAGCACGCGGAGCTGACGCTACGCAAGCAGGCTGAGGAAAGCAGCGGTGCATTAGTGGAAAGTCTAGCTTTCCGAGGCGCGGGAAAGTGGGGAAAAGTAGATCGAATGCGCAAGGTTCTGAAAAGCTTGCTGCAGGGGAATCCGGGCACCGGCGGACACCGGGGTTCACGGCCGACTGCGGAACGGGGGTTCAGCGTATACTGCGGAGGGGGCTACAAGGAGCGGGGAGCACCGAGGGGCGGAAGCGGGGTTCGGAGCGGACCAGAGGCGGAAGCGGCGGTGGGAGACCTGCTTATGAGCGGCCGGAGGAGTACCTGGACCGACAGGCGTCGGAGGGGTGACATGCGGAGTCCAAGGGGGTGACAGCGGATGACATTGTGGGAAGCAGGGAGGAACTGGAGTGTGGGATACTTGGGAGGAGGGGAGCTCGGAGCAACGGTGCAACCATTACGAGACACGTACTCGTAATGGCCCGTATCGTACTTTCAAAGTTCGCAATTACACGGAATCGTATTGTACTCATTCTTGAGTACGATACAATGTATTTTTACATAAGCGTACTTCCCCATAAATACGATACACTGTACTCGTAAGATTATGTACTTGGGAAAAGTACGATACGTGACTGATACGGATACGTAACTAGCTGTACTTCCATGTACTCCTTTTTCATTTTTGTTTAATTTTTTTTCAATTTTTTTGCATTTTTTTCAATTTTTTTCCCAATTTTTTTCCCAATTTTTTTCCCAATTTTTTTTCCCAATTTTTTTCCCAATTTTTTTCCCAATTTTTTTCCAAAATTTTTCCCAAATTTTTCCCCAATTTTTTTCCCAACTTTTTTCCCAATTTGTTTTCTCAATTTTTTTTCTCAATTTTTTTTCTCAATTTTTTTTCTCAATTTTGTTGCTCAATTTTTTTCTCACCTTTTTGTTCTCACCTGTTTTTTGGGTCAGGCTAGGAGATTGAACAAGCTGGTCCACTCCAAACCATTTGGAATGAAGTGTTTTTTGCTAGAAAATCTTGGCCAAGTTTGTTGGTGTCATATGGAAGCATGTTATGTGTGAAATCAACTCAAATTCTATCAAATTTTGTGGGGATTTCACACATTATGCTGCTACAAAACACTGCTACATTGTGCAAACAAATGGGGCCCTAGTGTTTTTTGTAGTGTTCAACCTTGCACTCCAATTTTTTTTGGAGTGTAAAAATGATGCACTCCCTTAATATTCAAATACCAAACACTTCCAAGGTTTTTGTCAGCCTTAGAGCAAGCCAAGCTGGCCAAAAGACTGCTTAATTAAGCCCTCCTTTTCACTCAAGTTCACACTGTAACTTTTTCATCTTAATCTTTTATTTAATTCTGACTTCAGAAGTTAATTCCTCTGCTGAATTCAAATTATTAACCACTACCCACTTTTACAATACTCTCCTCCTTCAAAGACTTTGCAATATTTCACCGTACCTTGTGAAATATCAACCAAGTTAGAATTCTAACTCTCTCTACCACATGTACATGTTTTGATTATGTAATCCAGCCATGACAATTATCTCAGTTGATACTGAGTTTGCATTTTCAGGATCTTCAAGGTTCAGACCCACCCAGAAGATTCACTCCAAAAAGATTTCCCCTTCTCACAACATTTCTCCACAGTTTTTGTGTATTCAAAATGAGTTAAATTCCAGCTAATCCACTCTTATATTTCTGAAGTGAACACCTGGGCCCTGTGTACTCCAAAACCTTGGGAGTGGATGGGATGTCAGTTCATATGTAGTTGTTGCTGGAGCATTGTTGGAGTGAATTGCCTGTGCACTCCATAAATGATTGGAGTGCATCATTTTTACATTTCTAAATAAATTGAATTTCAAGGTTAAATAAAAACTAGGACCCCATTTGTTAGCACAAGACAGCAGCATAAGGTGTGAAATACTCGCAAAATTTGATAGAATTTGAATGGATTTCACACATATTATGCTTCAAAATACTGACTTGGCCTAGACTTTGGAGTATGAAACACTACACTTCTAGTTCAATCCATTTTTGGAGTGCATGTAGTAAAAACTAGGAGTGCCTTTAGCCTGACCCAAAATAAAAGTGAAAAATGAGAATGAAAAAAAATGAATAAAATGAGAAAAAAAGAGAAAAAAAGAGAAAAAATTGGAAAAAATTGAAAAAAAATTGAAAAAAAGAAAAAAAAATGAGAAAAAAAATGAGAAAAAAAATGAGAAAAAAATGAGAAAAAAATGAGAAAAAAATGAGAAAAAAATGAGAAAAAAATGAGAAAAAAATGAGAAAAAATGAGAAAAAAATGAGAAAAAAAACACAAAAATGAGAAAAAAATGAGAAAAAAATGATAAAAAAATGAGAAAAAAACACAAAAAAGCATTGAGAAATGCAGTAATAGTGGTGAAACCCATCCCCATAATCATACAAAACTAAAAAAGTTGAAATTCTGTAATCAAGTGTGTTCTAAATATCGGTGTCAGGCAGGGACTTGGTGGCCTAGTTGGTAAAGGCAGCAATTCTAGTATAGTGTCTTAGCTTCAAGCTAAGGTTGCTGGTTCAAATCCTGCCCAAGTCAATTTTTTCTGCTAACTGTCTGCAAAATGCATTGTTAATTTTAACAAAAAATGCAATTTAAGGCAGTGGGGAGAAAATACACTGAGTACGCTGAATACCGTACTCGTATCACCCCAAATTCTGAGACGATACGGGCGTATTTTAAATTGTGTACTCGCCGGCCAAGTACAATGTACTCGTATTGTACTTGTTGACTAGGGTGATACGACGTACTCGAGTACACACGTACTCAAAACAAAGTACAGTACAATGTAATGCGAGTACAATACGTGTATCGTAATGGTTGCACCGTTGCTCGGAGCAGAAGAGGGGAGAGGGAGGGGAAGAACTTATGACTCAGAACATATCAGAAAAACAGAGTGACTTAGGAGTGAATCGTGTATTAGCCTAAAGAATTGTTAGAGATAGACTAGAGTTAGAGTGTTACCTACTAAAGATCAATACAAAAGAGTTATTTTACCTACCTACAAGACCATCAAGCAAGTTACCCCGGACAACAAACCGGAGTAGGACGTGTTGCGGAGCGGAGAAGTACAAGAAATCTCCTAGGGCGCGCCTTACTTTCCACACCGCACGTTTTCGAGCAATTGAGAGTAGATCATCTATCTGCTGATTTGTAGGAAAATGACAGAGTTTTTTTGAAATTTCACTTTTCTGGACACAAGATTCTGAAAAGGAGTATCGGTAACCTAGAAACAAAGAGAATCATTGATCAGGATACATAGTATATGATTGAGGAGAATTTCGTTATCTTTTGTTGTTCACCTGAATGTATGTGCTCCGATTTGGGCATCTTGACTTTTCCGGACATGATGCTTTTCACAATGATGAAGATCTTAGGCATCATTTGCCTTGCATCCAACACAGTAAAATTGGGAAGGATGACTCGCATCCATCCAAATATATGCTCACAGGCCTCAGTTCCATGTTTCCAAGGCATCAAAGGTACATTGGCATAATATTCACGGTGTGAGATGATGAGGCCGAGGAGGGAATCGGCAAGTGAGGCTAGAATCTTTTGACTTGGATATGAAATGCCATTCCTGTTGAGAGACATAACACCAGATGTGGCCTTTTGTTGTTCGACAAGGTACTGGTGCCATCAAATCAAGAAGAAATGGGATGTGTAGGCTGAAATAATTTGATCAAAGTGGTTCATGGTTTGATTTAACCAAGAATCGCAAAGCTCCCCCATTACAAACAGGTAGAGAGCAAGACCGGTGCAATCGTTATTTTGCAAGGCAATCTTGAGAGTATCTTCATTGAAAACACAATATGCCCAACCATCATCCTGTTTGTCAGAGTTGAAGACATCCTTAACGTAGAGTGATGAGTCTTGATTTTCAACAATGGTCGAGAGATGTAGTATTGATATCCAATATTTACCAAACGAGAGAAGTCGAGCACCTGACAGAATTTGATTCACGCATGTCTTCCTAGCATGCTTAGGATCTTGTACTCCCACTAGAGGTCGAGGCGGATTTCCAATCAAGGGAAGCTTGATGTTGACGTTGTATTTGGGTCGGACAAACGTGAGGTGCGCATCAGATATTTTGGTGAGATCCATCTGAGCTGAAAGTTAGGTCGCTGCACCATCAGAGGCAAGAGATAGTATCTTCATGCCGGACTTGTCACACATTTTGACAAATTTTGTGTGTGTTTCAACAATGTCGCTTGAAGACTCCTTATCTTTGCTGGCTAGAAGAGCAACAACATAAGTTGGAATGCCAGGTAAAGGAACTTGAATGGTGTAGGCTCTCAATTTTGGGCAAAAATTCTGGGATTTGACAATATCTTGAGTTAATGACTTCAACTGTTCCTCCGAATCAAACTTGATATCACCGCCTTGAGCACCAACAAGAAATCCATTATGAACTCGTAAACTTTTCAGACACACAGTCTGATCAGAACCCACAGCCAATGGCCCCGAGTAGTCCAAGGTCTTCAAAATTGAGCTGATCCGTTCAAAGTTGATGACTGAGAGTCCATCTGTAAGCTGCATGGAAGTCTTTGCACGAATATCCCGTTGACTTCTAAGTGATCGGCCTGCGAACGTTTCTTGGAAAAAATGGGCACCTCTGGGGCTGATCGCAGCCAAAGTCATCATGAAGTCGTCGAATTGAGGAGAGAATTGCACACCCGTTAATGATTTTCCAACACTCTCTCGTTCATGTCGAACGGAAACAGCCATCACAAGGCCTTTGAAGGGCTTGAGGTTGTCAAATTTTCCGGAAGCCGCATGAGCAGCAAACAGCTTCCAGAAAGTCTGGTCGTCTTCTTTAGTCGCTTTTTCAAGATGCATAGCAAGGAGGTTGACTTGCTCAAAGGTTCAGCGCTTTTCTTGAAACGGATCGCTAGCCATGAGTGTCTTTCTTACATGCTTTAAGGTAGTACCGGTTGCGTAGGGTGTGTTTATTGCAGTCAAGAGAGATGTGTCTTTCCGGATTTCAAGGCATTCTTGACAGACAACATAGTTCTGCCCAGGTTTCGATGCAACAACCCTAGTGCATTTTATTGAGTGAATTGATTGGCAGCCATCGTTTCGTCGGATCTCCCATGTAGTAGACTGAACTATCGCGTCACAAAGTTGATTTTTTTTGATCAAAGAGAGTCCAGATTCTTTGGTTTTGTTGAAGAGTTTTAATCATAACTCATGTCGAGGTGGTCCTCCATGGTAAATTGTGGGCAAGCCAAAAATGCAATTGATGATCTTATTTTTGGCACGTGGTCTCTCCCAAGTCTCGTCGCTGTTACCAGCACATATAACTTCTATGATTTGAATCTTGGGCAGTGGTTTGCTAGCTGGACATTCTGCTGGACACTTTGAAAAAAAGGCAGATATTGGTAATGATCTCTTCATTTCATTGGTCTGACTTTTGCATTTGCCTGTATCGGAATTGTTAATAGTTAATCAGTTTGATGAAAACAAATGGGGAAGGAGGGACAAACTTGATTGCCAGTGCCTCTCAGCACTCTGAACCCGACCACAATTTAACAGGACACTTTTCTGATATTTGCAATGGCACTGCAGAATTAAGTCATTACCACTAGGTTTGATTTGGCACTTGTCGCAAGGCACTCCAGGCTTTGTGAGCGGGCAGAGTTTCAGTATTGTTGCTATTTTTTCTTCCATTTTTGAGGTTGTTCAAGTTAAGAAATAATATCAAGTCTCAACGGGGGGAACTGGGAGGCAAGCCAGGTGGGCAAGGGGTAAGATTCGAAGCGAAAGTCTCAAAAGTCACCTTGTGTTATAGCCCTTCTAGTCCTGGCCTCATCGGAATCTGATCATTGGCTACCATCAGTTTGAACTCACTACAAGTACATAAGTATGTATTTTCCAAAAAAAACCAAGAGGTAAAAAAAGATTCCAAACACATAAGTATGTGTTTTGAACCAAAAATCAGGAAACTGGATTTTTGCTACATTATTTGACATATTTCATCAGTATGATTTTTGAAAAAAAAATCATTTTGCTACATGTTTCATGTGTGTGTCTAACAGGGGTTCACCGGGGTCCTAAAATGATATGTTAAATACTGGACTCCAGGGGCTCATCTCAGCTATCGACAAGGCGTCCGAGGGGTCCAAGGACTTGGTAGGAGCCATAGTCACCATGGCATCAAACACTGGTCGTCATCTATCACCTATGGACGCTACACCCCCTGAAAGACCCCAGAGTGGATCAGAGTGTGCCCTTGAAATGCTGCAACACATCTTTGGCGACCAAATACCGGACAACGAGTTAGTCGACTACATTCGGATTGTGGAGGACAACATGAAAGCTTGCACATTCTTGAAGTTAGCTCAAACCACTTCCCCAACCATCGTTCAAAAGTGGCTTGCCAAGGAGGTCCTTGCCCGTGGAACCCCTTTTTAGAATCTGACGACCCTGACACCTTTTTTATGGTTTTACTTGCTCATTCCTTTCAGTCGTTGCCCTGTTGTGGTTGTTGTTTCACTTGCTCGCTCATTTCTTTTGGTCATTTGGCCTTGTACATATTTTTTCATTTGCCCTTGTACATATTTTTTTCTGACACTTTTTTCAGGCTTGTTTTGGAATCTGACAACCCTGTTGTTCTTTTTGTTTCACTTGCTCGCTCTTTTGTTTTGGTCATTTGGCCTTGTACATATTTTTTCATTTGTCCTGGTACATATTCACACCGACTTGGAATCAGAAGAACTTGAGTGTACAGTGGGTAGACAGTGAAAAGTGGCTGCTTATTTTGAATTAGAAATCTGTGAAACACAAACTTGAAGTCATGAGACTTGGTCAGGTGGTGCATAATAGCTCTCAAAAAATGAATATGAAATAATAAAATCAAAAAAGAAAGTTTGAAAATTTGAAAAAAATAAAAAATAAACTTGATTTTTTTCAAAAGCTTTGATATTCATTTTTGGGAAGTGGGAGTGCTGAGAGAAAGAAAGAATGAGATGTGGGAAGAATGATTATAAATGAAAAAAATTGGAACCAAAAAAGGTTTAGCGAGGTTGGTGGTCCAGATTGGAGCACAAAAATCCACCATTATTTAATTGACTGGTTTGCAAAAATCCACCTTTTTATAAACATGTTGGTTATCCATTTAAACCCTTTTAGGGCCCATTTATACAAAAAAAAGTTTTTGGAAAAGTGACTGGTTTCTGATGGTGGATTTCCTATATTTGATACCCCCTAATAATGCTTTTCTAAAATTAAGGTTTGAACTTTTTTTGACCTCAAATGCGGGGTTTGCTCAACTTGGGCCCACCAAAAGAAGCCAAGTTGAGTGGAAAATTCAACCTTTTCAAAAACCACCTGTGTCACTCAAATTCTTCAGTCCCAAACCGAAGAAAATGGTGCCATTATCTTCGGTTTGGAACCGAAGAGCTGCCAGAGCTGGGTGAGCTGCCTGGAGCTGGGTCCCCCAGCTGACTAGATTTCCAAAACCACTGGCAGAGACAAAGTCTCTGTAGCTCAGCGGTTTGCACTGGCCCCTAACATCTGACCCATCTGGCAGGTTGTGGGTTCGATTCCCCACTGGCCCCATCCCCTGATGGGGGTTAGGGGGCAGGTTTTTGGGGTTAGGGTTAGGTTTACCGTGTTAGGGGGTTAGGGGGTTAGGGTTAGGGTTAACCCAGGAGAGGCACAGTACCTGGACAGGTTTGAGCGTAGTAGTTCATCTGCCTGGGTATTGTGGGGCCATTGGGGACCTGGCGGAGTTGTCGGAAATCCAATGGCCCCTGCTTCAAGGGGGGGTTAGGTTTAGGGTTAGGTTTAGGGTTAGGTTTAGGGTTAGGTTTAGGTTTAGGGTTAGGTTTAGGTTTACTGCAATGTGGGCTGGTGAATGCCCCACTCAACAGCTGTTTCAAGCCATCTGAAAACCAGTTTTTCCAAAATTTTCATATATAATCATTCTTCTTATTTCCCAATCTTTCTTTCTCTCAGCACTCCCACTCCCCCAAAATGAATATCAAAGCTTTTGAAAAAAAATCAACCTTATTTTTTATTTTTCACACATTTTGAAACTTTATTTTTTGCTTTTATTATTTCATATTCATTTTTTGTGACCTATTAGGCACCACCTGACCAAGTCTCATGATTTCAAATTTGTGCTTTGGAGATCTGGAATCCAAAATAAGCAGCCACTTTTCACTGTCTAGGCACTGTACATAGACATTCCAAACCAAAGAACTAGAGAGAGTACTAAACGTAGACATTCAGAACAAAGTACTAAACAGAAAATGATGAGAAAATGATGCTAGAGCAAGTACTACATAAACAGACAACAATCCTACAGAGAGTACTAAACAGACAAAGATGCTAGAGAAAGTACTAAACAGACGACAAACAGAAAAAAAAATTGGAGACATGATAGGAGGAGAGAGATGATGTGCAACATGATTGGAGCAGACAATGTGCAACATATGGAAACAAAAAATGGAGACAGTACAGAGCCACTAATTACCCCCAACTAGGGATTTGTGAATAACGTATTGCTCCCACATGCTTTTGGCAATGCAATAGCAACATTGTTTCATGATTTCATCTTCTTGGGGATTTGTACGATTTGGAGGACCTTCAGAGGGCCCGGCGGCTGTGTTGGGAGAATTGTTTGATGAAGGAGCATCCGTAGAGAAATAGTCTCCGGCAAGCATTGATTCATGGCCCTCGTGCCTTTGGATGAAATTCCACAACATGCATAAGCCGTAAACAAGATGAACTTGTTTGTTGAGTTGGACCTCTGGGGTTGATGAGAGAATTCAATACTTTCGTTTCATGCACCCAAAAATACGCTCAATGATGTTGCGGAGGGAAGCATGTTGGAGGTTATACAACTCCTTCTCGGTCGTAGGCCGTTGAGAAGCTGCTGCCTGTTCCTTGAGGTGGTATCAGACTCCCCGGAACGGCGTCATTAGGCCTGACTGAAGGCCATATCCTGCATCAGCAAGCAGGTATTTTTGTGGGGGAAGTTGGAGCCCCTTGCCGTATGAATCCAAGTAAACGCGAGTGTCATGAGGGCTCCCTTCCCATCCAGCCAGAACAAAGATGAATTCAAACCAAAAATTCACGGCGGCGAGGACGTTCTGGGCCACGTAACCTTTGCGACACCTCCATGCAGCTTGATTGTTTGCAGGGACCCGGGCATTGATCAAAACCCCATCCACAGCGCCAACGGCATTCCTGAAGGCGGAAAATTTCAGATCGTCTCAAATAAAAGAAGGTTGTAGAGTCGATTGAACATTCAACTGGACATAATCGGGGTACAATTCAATGAACGCCTCCAACGCCTTTTCAAAATAACTATAGTGAAGGTTTAGGAATCAACATAAAAGAACACTGAGCAGGGTAATGTTTGTATACACGCGTACCGGTTTATGGTGTACAATCCTTGTCGGAACTTGAGCGCCGTCTCCCGCATGGAGTTGTTGTAGCGTACAACGTTCAAGAAGATCAGAAGTTGCTCTTCAACCGTGATGGATCTTCCATCAACAAGCAAACCTTTCCTCCTGAGTATAGCGACAAGGATGCTGAAGGTCTGACGGTTCATGGAAGTGACCTCATGGAAGAGTTCTTCTCGCACAAAATGGAGTAGAAAATTCACATGGGTGGCCTGGCCACCATCACTGTAGTAGGCTTTTCCTTCACGCCAATGTTTTGCAAGTATGATTATGGCGATGTTGACGCAATGATTGTGGTGAAGAGTTGGGGGTCCATTGCAAAGGTTGATGGGATGATTATGATCCGGAGAAAAACACTTCTTGTGGGTCTGGGTGGAGGAAGAGCGTAGAGGAAGAGCTGGAGTGCGGCAAGTTGCATTAGGAAGGTAGAAAGCCGCTGGTGAGTTGCGGTAAGGCCAGATGGAGAATTGTGTGGGAGGCACTATTGGAATGGGATTGTGGTGGGGGAACGGAGCATGGGGATGGAGGTAAATAGGTGATGAAGTGAGGTGATACTTGGGGCAGCATTCTCTCTCGGAGAACCAAGGGCGGAAAACCAACGGTGGTTGAGCGCCATGGTACATCATTCTAGCCACCAAATTTCAATTACCAGTGAAAATCAAAATTTCATGTTTTGATGAAAAAGAAATGGACCTCATAATGAAAATTGAAATTTTGCAAAATTGATGTCTATGGTACAGGCCCTAAGATTAATTTAAGCGCTAAATTAAGAGATCAGGATGCTTTTGAGCTTCCTGAGTTAGGTAAGGAGCTCATGACAAAGGAAGCAAGCAATGTCATACAGTGCAGGCCTGCCTTCCAAATCCATGGGAGGGTTTCCATCATCCTCCCAGCTTTCCAAGGCAAGCCCAACAACTCTGAATCCCCATCTAAGCCAAGCCCAAGCTGGCCCCTGTGAAACACCAGTGGAGCAGCTGTGAGATATAGGAGAGAGGACTTGGAGATGCAAACGAAAGAAAAAAAAGAATGATCTTATACCTAATTGAGGTATAAGATGAAGGCAACACAAAGGTGAGATAAGTGTGTGCCATTACCTATTGAGCAAAAAGAAAAGATGAAGAAAAAGGAAAGGAAAAGAGAATGATACCAAACCTGTGAAACACCAGTGGAGAAGCTGTGAGCTATAGGAGAGAGGACTCGGAGATGTGAATGAAAGCAAACAAAGAATGATCTTATACCTAACCGAGGTGTAAGATGAAGGCAACACAAATGTGAGATAAGTGTGTGAGGAAAGAGAGAAAAGAAAAGAGGAAAAACAAGGTTACAACTAGGTGAATCTTAAGTACACAAGAGATGAAACCTAATCTAGATACACATGCTTTTCATTACCCTAACCCTATCTCACATGTCACATGTGTGACATGTCTTCTTCATTGTCACAGCCCTTGGAGCCAGAATCCCAGGCCAAGCAAATCAGAGTACCCAAGGCGGAAATTCAGGTTGTGGATCAATCAACCCTTTGCAAAAGCTCACTGGCGGTCACACTCCGGGATCTCAGGGCTACTCACAAGCCGATTGCAAGGCACTTATTGAGTTGTTCATGATTCACTTGACTTGAAATCTGGCTGAGATTGAGTTGATCAAAGTCAAGCAACACCTTTGACAGGCTGAAGAATCAGGGCCGCTTAGATCTGGGAATTGAGGATGATAGAAAAGCACATCTGGGAAATTCTGGAATTCTGGAAATATCTGGAATCTAGGATTCCAGAACTGGATCTGGAAGGGCTTCCAGATTGACAGGAAGTCTTCTCGTGGAGGAATTCCCGTCGTCCAAATCTGTTAATTTAGGATGACATCCTAAATGTTATTGGATGTCTTCCCGTCACGGTTTACAACCCTCCCAGAATTGAATTTACACCCCCTAGATCTTAATTTTTGGTATGAAAAAATGTTTTTTTGCAAGCCTGGTGAAGATAACCCTCACTTGAGCTGGTTGGAATTATGATTGGGGTGCTAATTTAAGACTGGGGAGGGCTGAAAAAGCACTCTACACGGCAGTTGCGTGTTTTTTGATTTTGGCTGGCAGATTGCCAGTGGGGTCAATCAGTCCGCAAATTGACCGGCCAGCCGTCAGATTACTGGCAATCTGACAGATTGCACACGGGCACTCAAGTTAACATAACTTGCCCAGGTCGGTTTGCCGGCACACATGATTGACCGCACAACTCCCGTCAAGCTTGAAGGCAATATGCCATCAAGGAGCTTGATGGCTAGCACACCGGCAAACAAGGAGGACACAAGTGATTGATGATAGGACAAAGTAGCTGGGGCTCAACCAGTGAAGAGGGGCCCCATCTCACTTCTAGAAATTTGTCAGCCACAGAGCACCTTTCACAGTACGTGAAATGTACCTAGTAACTGCAAATAATAATAACTGATTGAATACTGGAAAAAAATTATTCATTATTGTTAAAATAATAAATAAATAAATATGTATTTACATTTAATCTTAATTCATAATTTATATTTAATAATTCTATAATTAACTGTGAAATCCCCTTGAGCATTGTACATATAATATAACTAGGATTTCACAGAAATACCTTTAGAATAAAGTATTAAAACAATATTTATTCTTATACTTTATGTACATATTTTATAATACATAAATTAATAACATATGTGTAAGAATTAGCTAGTAGAAGCGTGAAATGGATGAGGAATAAGCTATATACATTTATCTGAAGCTTACCCATCCTTGATCACATCATCAGGGCATCAGATTGCATCATAACCCTCTTGGATGGCGTCATCAGGACCCTTTTGTGCTCTAATTCAAAGCTTGCATAATTCAAAGTAGCCTACACGCAACGATGAAACGGATGCGATGCGTGCATCGGTATCGCATCGCATCGGGCGTTTATCGCATCGCATCGCAAGATGCGATGCGGGGCCCCGCATCGCATCGCCCGCATCGTCATAACCGATGCGGAGAATCGGCATCGCATCGATTTTCCGATGCGATGTCCGATACCTGGCTTGCGATGCCGATGTTATCGGCAGGTATCGGCTCAACCTCCCTCCGAGTCGACTCTGAATCTGAATCTGATTGACTCCGAGGGCGAGTCACTACTTGGAGCCAAAATTCAAATCACCCTGTCCTGACTCCGACTCGGATTATGTATTACCCCTCTCCAGTTACAGGAAGTTATGAACATCCGATTCGGTAGGGCGATCACCAATCCTTTCAAACGGTACTCGTCACACTCCATTGGAAGTCAAGGTTCGATTCCACAGACCAGCCCAGCCTTTCAAATCCGGTACCTACGGCTTGAAGGACTCGCACCTCAACTCATCGGATGAGAGCAGTGACGAGGATCGATCGATCAAGACTCGTGATGATACCGTCAACTGCGCTGGTTTGTCGGCCATCTCCAAGGATCGACCACCTGAAGGGCTCTCTGACCCTCCAGTGTTCAATACGTCCATCTCACCCACTCGTCCTAACGTCAACTCAAACGGTCCCGGACCCAAACAATCAGACACATGCCTCCAACAGCTTCTGTCAAGGATGTTTCGGTCGTGACGACTATCACCAGTCAGACTCAATTCACTGAGTCATTGAACCGATTACCTGAGAGCCTCGCCAAGACCATCCAGGTAAGCTTCAAGCTCAAGCCTCTCCATACAAGCTCCTTGGGCCGAACCATCACCGAGAGTAATGTTTCTAATCGCCTGCCAATTGTCCATACCTATTTCTGCCAGTCTCCGAAAATGAAGCGCGTACATAAATCTAGTGGCGAGCAAGGAACGCCAAGGAATCGCGCTGCTTTGGGTGGGAACTCGACTTCAAGGGACCCACAAGCACCTCCTGTAGCAGTAGCTGATGGTAAGCCACAGCAAATTACCCCTCATCGGAGCTTGAAAACCGGGCTAACTCGCCTTCCCTTTGCCCTCTACGCATCCAGAAGCAGATCGTGCTCTTTTAGCAACTTACGTCTCATACGAGCGTGAAAATAGAGCTAACTCGCCTTTAAAGGGCCCTCTATCGTATAGAATCGGCTTTGCGCTTGGAACCCGATGCAAACCATGCTTAAGGGATCGATGCATCGCATCGCTTAAGCGTGTATCGCTAAAACGATGCGATACCGATACAGGGCGATTTATCGCATCGTATCGCATCGTTTCATCGTTGCTACACGGGAAAGGAGCCCAAATTCTACATGCAAGACTGAATTATGCATGAAGGAAATGCATTTCTCATGATCACAAGCTTGAATAAGCAGAGTTACACGTATGCAACCAACTCTACAATTGCACAGCCCCTGCACAGTAACTGTAGCCTTTTCAATTACGTGAGAAATAGGCCACAAAACTCAATTATGCATGTATGATCTCATGTCCTAGGACCTTCCACCCATGCATAGCACTGCACAGCTGCAGCTCCCATCCTTACACGAAATTGTAGAGCTGCTAAGAAGCTCCCTAGTGCCCTGAGGGCCTCTCCTCTTCCCCTGAGCCCCCTGTAGAATATTTAAGGAGCTCAGATTCCTACCTTTTCCCCCCAGGAAATTCTAGTAGCATCAAACCAACACTTGTACCGTGATTATTAGTGCTTCAAACCACCAATAACATTACAACCCAGCTACCTTAGACCTAAATAGATTTACTTTGCTCAGATTCAAGGCATTTCTACTTATCTCTATTGCATAAAGAATTATCCCCCTGGTTAAACAATTCTGGTCCTTAAGTGTACATACACTTATTCATCTGGATTGTTGTTAAAAGACTTGATCCCAAGTGAGTAGAAGAATTCCTCACATTGGAAGCCTATTAATCCACGTAACAGGATTGATCTGGATGCCCAATTGAATAATTGGATGAGTCAGCAGTAGAAGTACCATTCCTCACTGACTCCTCCCTGTTTCTTCTACAGGTTGAGGGATTTTTACCACGAATAAACCATCACTCTTACACTTCTTGTTAACACTCATAGCACAACCACTCAGGTTAGTAGCATAGAGGCTGACAAAATTTCTGAAGTCCAATCATCGGAAGCCAAGGGACATGTCACCCCTCACCTCATCAATTTGCACATCTCTCCTTGACTCTCCTTCATCTTTGTCTCATCTCATCATCATCCCAGAGGGAACCCCCCCCCCCCCCGCCCCTCCCCCCTCTCACTCTAACTTAACGCAAGCCCCTCGATCGGATGGGCCTGTGCCAGGCTGGCGCGAAGCGCCCCTCGCGGAGCGAGCCTCCGAAGGAGGGACTTGTGAACAAAGTCGGCTTTCTTGTGTGGAAGCTGGCATCAGTTAGGTGGGGAAATTCTTGCTCGCAGACTTGTGTCATCTTCCAAGTGGAAATTTGACCCGCCTGTTTGACCATTTGAGAGGCCGGCTTCTTCTGATCATTTCCGTATAACTCTTGGGGCCATGGGCCCTCACCTGCCCCCATCAACAGCGTTCCACAAAGGCCGTTTGGCCAGAAGTTTCATGATGGGCCCCAACTATGGTCATAGAGATTCCCGTTTCTTCCCAGAGATTACCACTGTATTTGGACCAAGTCCCCCAATTGGCATCTCAGGGACGGATGACTTATACTCACTACAATTATCAAAAAATTATATGGGCAGAATGGGAAGAAGCTCAGGTATCCGAAGAAGTTGACGGCATCAAAATCATCCAGATTTCTCCTGAGTTATAGGGGATTTTGTGTGCAAAGGCCAAAAAAAGCCACAAAAAGCCTGAGCTTCCAGGCCGATGTTTCAACTTCACTCCCAAGCCCCTCTTTCAGAGGCTCGCTTCGCGAGGTGCCCCCGGCCCTCTGGAACGAGGGGATTGTGTTAAGCTAGCCTCTCACTCACTCCATATTGATCCGATCCCACTTGCACCAGC